TTTCAGGACCCTTTCTACACTGGGATTCTGCAGCTGAAGGAGAGCGAAGTGGCACTGGCCTGCCCTGCCTGCCTGCTCAGGCTCTGAGTACAAGAAAGAGGAGCATGAGCATGCCTCTTCAGATAAGGCACCAGTAAAAAATAAATATTTTGAAGACCGTGATGGGGGGAGTGTGCCCATAGTACTGGTTACTGTTAAATAACCTTTTTTTCTATCTTAAAGAGGTCATTTACTTGCTGTTCAGTGCCACAGTTTTGGGGATATATGACAGCTGTCACTATCCATAGCTAAGACTTTCACTTCTACTCCTCATACTCTCCCTTTTCATATTCGTGACTGGAAACCTTGGAAGTTATGGAGACAGAGCACTGTGCTCTTCTAGGTTTAGAAACAGACGCCAGAATAGTCTTTGGTTATTCTTAAGAGAGTCTTTAGATTTGGAACATAGGGATACTATGTCTCTGTAGAAGTTGATTACAACACTTGAATTATGTGCAAACCTTCCATTCAGAAAACATGCAGGTGAGAATTGGCAGCAGCAATTCTGGCAGAATTCTCTGATGAGGTTTTGTGTTACTTGATGAATACAATTCTGATTTATTACAAAAAAACTCTGATAGTTTGTCGTTGTCTGTTGTGCAGTATTCAGGTACTCGGAATAACCAAAACTATTCTAGCCTATCTAATGAGGAGCAATAAAGAGAGACCTGTGCTGTGTGCTACCTGAAGGTTCCATTTTGTTCTGTATCACTTTTTTCTGTACTAAATGTGTCTTGAAGGAATTCCTTTGTTTACCTCATGCTTTATTGAATTAATTTCTTTGTAAAACATTTTAAGTCATTTCTCTTCTGTATGTGTGGCTTTGTAAGATGCTTCATAAGATCTATTTTTACATCTTCCAAGTCCACTATTATTTATTTGTTGCTTTTGTCAGTACTATTGGATTTTTCTTCATTTGTGAGGAATATAAGCAATTTCCAGAGCTTTCAGAAATTTTTATAGCTTCACATAGGATTTCTCTTTAATTACTTGTAGCTATTATTCCCATATTTAAAAGGGACATGTATGTGAATATGTGTAAGCATGTGACATGACAAATAAATGGCTCGGTTAATCAGCAAAGTCATTATAAAGGGTATATTTATAGCAGTGTAATTACTGTAGAAGTAGCCAAAGCTTTTTGTTACGTTTATTTGAGCATGACTTAATTTTAATTGAGTAAAAGAACTCAAAAGAAGAAAGCTGGGCTGGTCCTTATCTTGAGGAACTTAAAGTTCAAGTAGATGTGTGATCCAGTAAAAGCTTAAGAAAAAAAAAAAGTCCAAAGGAAAGAAAAGGCATTTTTAGTTTGTTTTGTAAATATATGATGTGGTCATGCTTTTATTAGATGTAGTGCGGTTAGGTAGAGTTTAACCTATGTGTTGGTGTATTGTTTTTATAACTGAATCCCAGAGTGTTTATTCTTGACAATATCATCTTGCAAACTTGTCTGTGTATGAATGGAATAGAGATGAAATCACTTTCTAAATGTTTTTTCCTTTTAGCTTCCAGAAATGCTTCATGGAGACGGAGATAATGAAGAGCATGGTTATTGTCCCGTGGGGCAGTTTATTCTTCAGAATCTAGGCCTGCTTCTTGGATTTGCCATCATGCTGGTGATTGCCCTCTATGAAGATAAAATTGTGCTCGACATCCAGTTTTGACCGAATTCTGGTAATCACTGTGGTTACAATAATGTTACTGTATGGCTTTGAGTCTGCACTGTTTCACTGTATGCACATTGCTCAGAGGAAAAGCAGTGGCTTGCACTACTTACACAAGTACAGTATATTAATTTCTGTGTAGATTAATTTATGCTTTTTTCCTAATTCAAATCAAATGACATTACCCAATGCATCTTCTAAACCCGAGTGATTGACAATTAGGAAATACTAAATATGAGAAATAAATGCCAAGTGCAGTGTACTATGTAGGAAGCACTGCTTGCTTAAGAAAGAAAAAGTACAGTGTGTGATCTGCTCATTTGGGAAAATACCATTTCACCAGTACATTTGAACAGAACCCAGAAAACATTACAGCTGAAATTCATACCTCTGCAAGGAACCTGAGTAAGCTTTTAGTGCCAGTAAGTCTTGAGTAGCACATATCTATCTATCTCTATATATGTATAGGTATATCTAGAGATAGATATATACAGATATGCATGCATATCTATATAGGTGCATGTGTGTGTGTAAAACTATATATATATATTTTTTTTTTTTTTTTTTTTTTCATTCTGTGCTGATTCTTCTGCATAGTGGTGACTTGAAGTATTAAATCTTACAACAGCACGTGACTGGAAACCACTGTGCTGGCTTTGAATTTTAAGAAAGAAACCCAAAACCTGTTTAAATTCTTAGAGTATGCATTAAGCTGCACTCCATCATTATAAACTTCTTGTGTAAGAAGGCAGGCTGTTGCAATATACGCTGCAAAGTGCTATGTTCTGTCAAGGGTCAGTTTGATGATGTTTTTCCTCACTAAGATTTATTTGATGTTTGTTCCTTGATATTAGTAGGAAAACACAAAATGCAGTAGAATTAGTGTTAGCTTGGGGAAATCCTTGATGTTGGAGTTATTGAGCTATTTCTGGTTCTTTTTTACAGATGCTAAACATGTATTGTGTGCCACTTGCAGCATAAACTACTGAAGAATTGTGGCTGTGAATTTGTGCAAACCCTTTTCACAGAGAATCCATATGGGAATTTCTCCATTTTTTAAAAATTATTTTGGACTGTTTTCTCCTCTTCATGTTAAAACAATCCAAAGTGCAAGATGCTAGTTACTGAACCTGGGCACAAAGGTTAAATTACGCTCTGTGTATGTAGTACTGGTAGGTTATTTACAATACTGTAATATCAGATCAAAATCCGTTCCTACAATGCCTTGATATCAGACGTTGTAGCACCAGCCATTTCTGGCAGTGAGAGTATGTAAGAAGATTTCTACTTCCAGCATAAAGGAGTTCATTTCTATGATATTTTTTTACAATTTTGGTATTTAAATTAGATTATTAAAAAGCAGATGTGATAGATCTGTGGTATGTGTAATTTGGAGGGATAGACTGAAAATTCGGGCCTTAACTTGCTGGGATCAGCTGTTTTAGACTGGATTGTGCCGATACGCTTATATTACCAGACGTGAGTTAGTTCTTCTTGCACCCATCTCCTTAAAAAAATTGTGTGTTTGTGAGGAGTGCAAGTTGATTCTGTAGTACCAGTCCTAAGCATGGTAGTAGCCTTTTTTAAAACATACAGTTTGTCTTCTTTTATGTGTATGCCAGGTAAAAGCCGTATTTTGACTATGTGCTGTAAATTTTGTTTCGGTCTGCTTGGTGCCAGTGTAGCTGCTAAAAACACTGATCCTAACGCCTTTAACAAGAGCCAGTTGGTATCTTCATTCCATTTCAAGTTAATGTGTGTTTCCTGTGGCCCTTTACTTTTTGAAGCTTCATTGGGCAATTTAGTTTTTACTGACAGCAGCTCATGTATTTTAAAGATATTGGATGGTTCTTGCCAGTATTTCTTCCTCATGCAGTATCAAGAAGCAGTATTAAGGGTCCATTTCAAAGAAGGGTGCAGTTTCTTCAGTGAAGAAGCCAAAAGCCCAGAGTTCAGGTATGCAGCCATTGTGATGCTCTGAACTCAGGTTTTCTTTTTTGTTCTTTAAACACGTTTACTGTTGGACCCTAATTAGCAAACACACTGTTGTTAGCTTCAGATTACTGAATTTCTGCAGTGTAAAGATCCTGGGTGATGTGTTTTCGTAGTGCCCATGTTAGGTCACTGAGTACCATTTTCAAAGAGACTTAACTCACAGGATACCTTCCGAGGATCTAAATTTAAACCACCTATATTCCTTATGTATTAAACTGACCCTTACTTTTCCTTTTCTGTTATTCTGTCAAGTATAAGGGGGTCATCATGTGCTTGAACTGATATTTTTGTCAAATCATTTTTTAAACTTTATTTCTTCTAATTCTTTTCAAATGAAGATTTCTGTATTTCAGGTAGTATATTTACTTTTGTATTAGTTGGAATATGGTTATAGCTTAATACACTGCCTCTATAGGAAAACAGTTTAACTTCCTTCCAAGACCATCTTCAGACAAGGGAAAAACATGGTCCTTGAAGGTAGGTACTGTATTTTTCATTAAATATGGGTTGTTTCCTTTTATTTTCTAGTATTTATTACAAGTTAAGAAGAGCAGTGTAACAGCTGTGACTTCTTCTGTGTGTTTCCACCAGTATTGAATTCCAAATGATTCTAATGTACGCTATTGAGTCCTGTTACAGACAATCTGAATTCCACTACATTTCTACTTGGCTTCAACATTCCATTCTGCTTGAACCCAAAGTCTCATTTAACTTGTATTTGTTGGAGGGCATAAATGTTACTTGTATATTACAATGCTGTCACTGTGTGACATCCCATATGAATTTTGATGTAGATCACATTGCACTCAATCTGCTGTGATTATGCTTAGAAAATATTGTAGTTGCTAGATGCAGTGTGATTTCCTCCCCCCCCATTTTTTTTTTCCTTCCCCACCCCATTAATAATTGAGTCTATGGTTTAAAATGTGATTATGGTCCTATAAGATAACTTGCTGAGCTATCAGACTTTTTGTTACGACTAAATCATTTTTTTAAATTTTATAAAGCTGGAAATGATCAAATGCTGTTTTGTTCATGTCAACAGTGTTGTGTTCATTTTATGTATGTTCCTTATAAATAAGGAGCCTTCAGAAAATAAAATTATTCAAGGAGCAGATCTTTTTGTTGGCTTTTATAAGGTTTTATTGTGCACCTTTATATTTTAGTATTTGGTTTCAAATCTCATGAAAAGGCGCAAATGCTACATTGTAAACAAACTCGTTTTGATTTCTCTTTTTATGTGGCATTTCAAGACTGACATGCATCCCTTCTAAGAGACCTACCTCCATAACTGTGTTAGGTTTATGAGTTAAGCTGACATAGCAACGCCACACCCCGTCTGATCCAGTGTTCTTGCGGTTTGTCTGAAGGGAGAGTCATTGCGATGACAAAGTTGGTGGAATGGCCTGTAGTGGACAGGATCCCTCGTCTCTCGCTGGTCTTATACACTGGGGCCAGATAACTTGGTCTCTGTGGAATGTCTGCTCTCCTACATGGCTTTAGCCATATCTGCGGTAAAGAATAAAACAATCCTTTTCATCTCAGTTTTAAAAAAAAGGATTTTGATGTCATTTTTTTGTTTTGTTTTCTTTTTAACAGGTAGCCCTGAAAACCTGTTTCTTGTTTCCTCTTTCTTAGCAGCTTGCTTCCTCTCCCAAAACATGCAACACCAAACTTCCTGTCACTGTCATGATTAGCAGAGGATTCTCAGACACTTAATTTCTATTTCGACACAAAGCATTTCAATTAAATTATTTTCTTTTTTAAGAATAACCCTGTTCCTGAAGGGTAATTGTCAAATGATTTAAACTTTAAAAAATTTCTTTTCATATGAAGATTTCTATATTTCAGGTAGTTACTCAATTCTATTGAAGACTAGAACTGAAGAGTATTAATTCTACAGTATTTGTTGGTAGGTAATACTATAAAATGTCACCAAATGAAAGATACTGACCACAGGTACTGTATCATAGAGGATTTTTGGATGACATTCTCCTAGCTTCTTAGTTTGCCTGTTCCAGCGTGCTCCATCCAAGAACAATCCCTGAACGTAGACTCCTGAATCAGTTGGGAAAGATACCATATTATGCAAAAACTGGAAAGCTTGTCTAGCTGAGAGCAGCAGCTAGTGCAACGCACTTTGCTGACTGTCAGTCAATCAAGTGCGTGGGACTTTTTGTCAATTTTGTGTGTTCTGAGTGATGATCAAGTAAGTTTGAGTATAACACAATCTTATACTTTATTACAATTTACTATGATTGCAATTCTGTGAAGTTTTATAAAGTTACAATGTCTAGCGATATCATAGTGTATCCAGACTTTTGTGAATGTTACGTGACAGAGCTTAAAAATTATACCCCAGTACAGGACACTATTTTTATAGTTGTCGTTATCATAAAGTTTTCTGTATGTGCTATACATTGTCAGCTTTAATGTTCCCAGCCTTGGAGGTTTGATCATCTAAACAGTCTTGTAACTAGTTAAGTCTTAACATTGTTTCATTGCTTATGTTTCAAGTTGCCGCTTGCTTACAGGTTTCTAAAGTGGTTCATTAAAGGAATGAAGTAAAAAGAGGGGAAAAAAAAGTCCTTAAATGTTTAAAAAACATAAATATTTTGACATATCATAATGACATGACAAAATGACAGCTGTCATTCCATCATCTCTGCAGAAGAAAAAAGTAAGTTACAGCAAATCTGTTTTTCATCAAACTGGCACCTTCTTGCTCTGTAGACTGAAAACTGTAACTTCTAACAATAAATAAACATGCCCCAACAGAAAATGACTTGATGTGGCTCTCCCAGGCAACCTGTCATGCCCTTCTTTTTACACAACTGCCAGTCAAACTGATCCTCAGAAAAGTATTAAAAAGAGTATCAAGAACAGTTCAGTTTAATATATCCTTTTTTCTGAGGAAGCAGCAAGCTAACAAATGTATCTGCAGCTGGAACCTAAGGTAAGTAATAAAGTGGTTTGAGAAAAGAGAGAACTTTTCCTCCCTTAGAACGGTCCCCTGTTACACATTGTGATCATATCCATAAGCTCTTTTTCTAGGGTGGGTGTGCTACTTTAACTATCCTTCTCTACTAAATGTTTGGTTTTCCTTGGCTTAGGAAAATGTGCGTTTTCAGACATATATGCTAATGGAGTGAATTAAAGGAGGGAAAAAAAAAACATGGCAAGCTAGATATTACTTATTGTTTGGGGTAAGGAGTGTCCTTGGTTGGTGTTGGTTTATATCTGCATGCTAATCCAGGAGGTGAACTAATCTCAGTAGTTCTTAAGCATTTAAATAGTGTTTTGCCTCTTTACTACTTGTGTATTATCTATCTATCTCATGTGGAGCAGTGCAGTTGTGTATGTTTTCCAGCTGTATTCATTAACTTAACTGCATAACTCTGAGTCTGCAAATTAATGTTATCTTCTGAGTACACCAGCAAAGGCAGATAATTGTGTCATGCTTTTACTTACCATCTTCAGGAGCAACTTCATATTCCTTATCTTCCAGCACTTCATAGTCAAATTCTAGTAGGTCTATCGGAATGGTGTATTTTCTGGCATAGTTCTGCTGGGCACCTGTTAAGAATGCTTGAGTGAAGAAGAATCCTGAAATCCAGAAGACTGGTGGAGTTCCATTTTCATACCACAGCTGCAGCAGCAAAAGAGAGAGGAGGAGAAAGAAAAAAACTACCTTTTTTAATATTTAGGAAAGCAATTATCTCCTTGATACAGCAAAAGTAATTTCTCCTTGATTGTCTTTTTATTTTCTGAAAGCAGCGGAGCTTTGGGTGGCTGCCATGTCTTTTTAAGATGTCACTAGCTTCTGTTTTAAAAAAAAAACCACCAAACAAAAAACCACTCTTACAAAAAAAAAACACACACCAAAAAAAATCAACACTGTTGCCTGGAAATATTTAGCTTACATGAATGACTGACTTATTCAGGCTAAGTCTGTTAAACATGCATCGTCCTCATAAGTTCATCAAATGAGTATTCAATTCTCCTCTCCCTCGTTATTGAAGACTGTTCAGCATTCACCTTTGCAAATGACAGAGGTTTTGCAGGCTGTTTTCTCTTTGAAAGGGTCACATTTCCCTTCCAAGGCCAGTCACATGTTCTAAGTGTGTACAGCAAGTTGAAGGGATGATTTCCTCATGAGGAGGACATGTGGCCTAATTTAACTTACATTGACTGGGGGGGTGGGTAGGGACAGGTTTTTTGGTTGGTTGGTGTTTCAGCGTTGCTTATTTTTAATAGCTTATACTGTGAAGGCCTCTGTATAAAAATTATTTTTTTAAATGTCAAAATTCATTGGATTTGGTTGTAATACATGTGAGGTCTGTTGCAATGGTGAATATTTACTGCATGCAAGAAGACCTTTTTCTGATTGTTGCAAACATCAGTTTTGAATAACATCTGAAAAAATTTTGCTACAATTATCCACTGCAGAGAATTACAATGAAGACAACTGAACTAGTTGTCTCTACTAGTAAGTAGTCTTCCTCCCAAGAAATAAAAAATTCCCCTTACAGTTATTGGCAGTTTTTGGTTTGTACAAGTTGAAATTCTGTCCTGGATTCTGTTCAAGAAACGGCACTTTTGTTCTTTACACATACTGCTGTCAGGCTTGCTACAGATGAAAGTGGAAGTTACTGAGGTGTGTTGACTGGGTGATGTGTGTCCAAAAACATAACATGGAGGTTCTCTGGAAATGCAGGTTTTATCAGTATCCTTCTAGACCTGAAACTGGATGACTGTTTTTTGTTGGTTTTGTTTTTTTTTTTAATTTACTTATAATTTTTATTCCTAGATCTTTTGTCCATCTTGGGACCTGTTCTTACAACAGATACGGAGTAGCAATCTGCTACAAGATTGGTTTTCTTCAGTTGATAGAGAGTACTGAGCCACAGAATGGTGCTGAGACTCTAGATGTTACTCATTTAAAGTCGGTTTTGGGAATCTGCACTCTTACTCCTACACCTACAGGTGAAGGAACCCCACTGGTTCTCCCTAACTCATTCAGCTTTCTTCTCCAGCACTCTACTGAAAGCTTGGTATTTGACTTTAACGTAAGATTTTGTGTTAAAATGTTTTGGTAATTTAAGTTTGCTTGCTGGAAAAGAAACTCAACAGTATTTTCCTAAGTTCTATTGTAATTAAACTTCATTACCACCACCAGATCTAGATGCAGTTTAAGAGGCCCTTAGTAAATTCTGTCATACAGTATTACTGACGTATTGCAGCTCTCTTTGTGAGGTGTAGGGTATGTGGCAAAGCATAGTGCTTCATTAGATGCGGTGATGAGCAAAAGGCTATATGAAACAGATGCACAAACGCACTGGACTTTACCTGTCAATTATTCAGTGGAAGTTGTGGAGATATCACCTGACATCAATAGACAAAAATAACAAGCAGCGTTGAACAAATCTGCGTAAATGGGGTGCACTCACCTGTAAGAACTTCAGTCTGTTAAGGAAGTCAGTCACATAGCTGCCTAGAGGCTTGAGGCTTGGGTAAGACTTATTCATCCACAGCCCTGGAATTTTGCCTTTCAGAATGCTGTTTACCACTTCTTCCAGTTCAGCAGACATCACCACTAGCCCCTAAAAGGAATTTTGGAAAGGAAGATGTTAAAATACTTTGCCTAACAGGCTTGCTTTCATGATTAAAAATCAACAACGCGCTCTGTCTGACAAGATGTCACTTCAAGCTAAAGTCAGACAGGAGCAACCCTGAAAACAAGAATAATGGACATAATGGATTTCATAAAAAGTTACCGCTGCCATCTGTCTGATCAGGTAGTTAGTTACTAGATTGGTCAGGGAAAAGGTCCATAGCCTCTTTTGGAGAAAACCGCCCATAGTGGAAAATTCTCCCTTGCCATTCTTCCTCGGAAACATGGTCTTCCCAGAGCACTTCTGAGTTTTACTGACAGCAATTGCTCTTTTGTATTATTGTTTAAAGTTTCCTCAAAACTCTGTGACATTGCTGTAAGTGCCGCCTTCTAAAGTGTCAGACGTTTCAGCTTGTAGTTTAGTTTGGCTGTAAGTGGGAGAGAAGTGGTGCTTGGGGGTTTTTTGTCAGTTTTGTGTGGTGTTTTTTTTTTTTAAATGCGTCATCAGCCTTAAGCTATAATAGGATAAGTAAAAATTGCCTAAACTGACTTCTTCCTGCTTTTTTCTGTATTTTGCACAGCTGTAGCTTTTGGTTCCTACTGAGAACAAACATCAACTTTAGACACTGATATCTTAACTGGAATCCTTCCTGGCAGTAATTTGCTATTTGAGGTGTTGAGGAGATCTGCTTTTATCTGTAAGGAATTGTGTGAGATGCTTCAGTCTTTAATGCCAGTGAGGCAGAAAAACAGATGTGAACCTAGTTACTACTTGTCTTATTTGCTAGCAAATCTGTAGTTAAAAATTTTCTGGTTTGGTTTCTCTGCAGTAGGCACAAAATACTTTTATATTCCATTGTACTCCTATCAGTTTTAAGATACAGATCAATAAATTAGTTTGGAATCTGGATTCTTTAAAGTGTTTGACTGACTGACCTGAATCAGATGTCAAGGTCAGTTCTCTAAGGTACTTGCATTGATAGCTCAGAGATTGAGTCTGGGTTCTAGGTACATGCCTCTAAAGGTTCTCTTCAGCTCACCTTTATTGCTTTCTGGATGTTAATGCAGGAGTTCCGTATTGTCTGCAATAACTTGTTAAAGCGTCCCATCTCTTGGACAAGGACAGTATTCATGCTCTGAGTATAAGTGGTTGGATATCTTCTCATTGCTGCTTCAATGTCAAAATTTGGAGGAAGTTTGCTCAGGATGTCACCTGTTACTTCATGAACAACTTCATCAGTGGATTTTGCACCACCATGAGATGCCCGAGACTAGAGAGACAAAAATTTGGATTTATTTTGAGAAAAAGAGGTCTTACGAGAGGGAGCAGTTAAAATGCAGGAAAACAGAGTTGTTGTAAAGGCATTGTTTAAAAGATCATTACAGTTCCAACTGTCTTCCACTGTTGTTAAAATTAATTTCTTTCAGAATTTCCTATATTATTGCAATGTTATTAGCTTAGAACTAACAAAATCTGGTTTCCTAGAGATTTGTGTCCTCATTTCTTTTGCTGAAATCTTCCACTGTAAACCAACCTTTCTCCCCCTGCCTCTGATGTACCCATCAGCACCACTGGCTGGCCAGGTGCTGTGAAAGGGCACAGAGCAGTGCCCAGTTCTGTCTCGCTGTCCCTCCCGCTCTCTGTATTCAGCTCTTCATTTTCCTCATGAAGCTTACAGGAACTATAGTATCCCTAGACTGTACCTGGCTTACAAACTGGACTGAAACTGGCCAAGAAATTGAAAATCATTAAAAGCTGGGGGGAGTAGAAGATATGCAAACTGACTCTTATGATCACAGAAGCTGTGTTTCCTTAGGAAGACAGTTGAGAAGAATACAAAACTATAAAACAGCCTTGAAAGATTCTTGAGTGGAACAGTAATTTCACCAGAATGGAGATACAACACAATAAGGTACGGTAAAAACTGAAAAAAAAATTTGAACATACTAATGTGGAGATAGAGTAGAAAGTTATGGTAAGATGGTGTGTGACTTTTACTCTTTAAATACCTGTGTAAGAATTATGTTATCAAATAACAGGTGCGTTTCTGACTGATCCTTGGTAATATCGGCATTTGTGTTCATTCCAAATATCTCTGGGGAAGGATTCAGTGGAAGAGTCTTTGTATATTCGATATAGCTTTGGTACTGAAAAAAGGAAAAAAAAATAGACTTAGAAGGAGATGCAGAAACAGCCAAACAGCCTGTGGCAGGCTGCAAGCTGTGTCTCAAAACAACTACAAACTTCCCTAGTGTAATGAATACAGTGTGTAAACTAAGATCTAAAAAGAAATACGGGGGCTGGCTGTGCCTCACAAATTCCTTTGGTCCATCCTCTTACCCTGAAATCAGGATTAGTTTTGCTTAAATAATTTCTGACAAAATTTTTAATGGCTGTTGGAAATTCTCTTACAAAATAAGAGTATTTAAAAATATATAAAACTAGTACAAGGGGCTGCAGCCCCTTTCTGGGCCCACCGCTTGCCAAGTGTCTGAAGGCGTTTTGTTGATGTGTGACATAACTCTCCTGCGTGATAAATTAAGCTGATTACTATGTCCTTTCTCCCTCCCGCAGATATGATCAACTAATTATCTTACACCTATTTTATAATGCTTCTAACTTCAGCAGGCTGTGTTTCTCCGTTATTGTCCCATAAGTGTGCTGACTCACACAGAGCAAAGTCAATTTAGTTGGTAGTAGTTGGGGTAGTTTTTTTTACATCAGTTCCATTTCTTAGAAGTCAATCTCACATCCTATTAGGACTTGTTGTAGTAAGCCACAAAAGCAAGCAGTGACAGCAATAAGCACTGAGGCACATATCAGTGTCAGTAAAGATAGATCTGTTTTTTTAAGAAATAAGCTGTTGGTAATCCTGTTTTCTGCGATACTTACATCTCCTTCAGGAGGAGCAAAATAAAGGCCACTTGGATCAAATTTATAATTTACATTTGTAATGATTTCTGAGGAAAAGAACATGTTTAGAATACTACGGAGCGTACGCCGATCCCAGTCATCGGTGACTCTACCACCATAATTACATTCTCCAGTCATATAGCGCAGAGCATCATATGGCACCTCCTGAAAAAAAGGCAAGACAGGGATCTGAACCGCAGCCTAGCGCTTCTTTGGACAGCCATATTGGTGTCATTGTAATTTACTTGTAAAAGTTAGCCATAATGCTTGCTGGAAAGTTTAAAAGCTGTTATTTTTGCTAGCTCATGCTTGTATCATTGATCCCTTGATCTTCAAATACTTTTACAATCATCCATCAAGTCACCCAGCATTGCTTCATTTGAAGAATAACAGCACCAAAAATTTCCATAGTAGCAGGAACTCCCTGAGTTAAAGTTTATGGAAAACTTCTCCAAAACTACCTCTACTTGTTTGGCTACACATACTTCTAAATTTAAATGTATGATGTCACAGGGCCATAGGTGTACTTATAAATTTTACTCTATTTACTCTTTTTAGAAAATAAAATCAAATCAAACATGCTTAAGGTTCTGAAGTTAGGAGAAGCTAGACTCCTCTTAGGTGCATAAAAGGAACTGATTGTGAGTGATAAGAGATAACTGATTTACAGGAAGTCAGGGCAAGAGTGGGCGATACACCAGTCGAAAAAACTACCAAGAAATTTGTGTACCACATATAAGTCAGTTGTTATCTTTCAGGAAAAAAAAATGGCTTCCCTCCCTTCTCAGCACAACGTTTGCTCATAAGCTTTGGCCATATAACAGGAGGCCATCCCCCTCCGAACCGCCCTTCACTTTCCTACAGAAAAGGAAACGCACACCTTCATGAAGTTGCTTTCTCATACTGAATCACAATTTACCTATTAACCACACTGATAACCAAAAATACTCCAGGCTGACAGTGGTTTGAAAACAACATCCCCTTCCCACCCCCAGCCATAATTTTAACAGAATCTGGCTATAGTGGGCTGCTTAGGAAGCTGGAACATAAAGAAGTGTCAGGTATTGCTAGCAAATTCCAGAAACGCTTCTATGAAACACCGCAATGCTCTGTAAGCCGGGAAGGATACATCATCTGCCAAATTTACACAAATAGATCAAGGTTGCTATTAATCTGCAGCAGTCCAGGGTCTGGTATTATCCCTCTCATTAAGTAAATCAGAGTCAGCAATTAAGTGTTTTAGTACAGTATTTTATAGCTTGCAGTAACATCGCCAAGAGCTAAATCCACAGCTCCTGCCTAGATAGGATAAGATTCCAACGAATAAGGCAACTATATGGAACAAACACTGCTCTGTTTTGCATGGTAGAACTTCTAAATTGTAATTTCAAAGTTTCCCACGTTAGTTACGTACTGATTGTGGTACGCTAACAGCTTAAAATGAATGTGGTTAGCACTACTGCAATTAGGCCTTGGTTTCTAATTCACTGAACTGTTGCCGTGGCTGCACTCAGCCTGCATTGGTACATGCACTAAACAGTCCTAAAAAGCGCAAGCAAGGACACTGTGAGAGGCTGCTGTACCTCGTACTGGTCAAGGAAGATGTGCAGCTGCTGGACGCTGATGCGCAGGTCAGTCTCATTGAACTCATACGGAATGTTCCAACCCAACGGCCCAAAATTCCGCCTTTCTTGCACCAGTGCGTGGAAGAAGCAGAGGCCATACAGCAATGTCTTGAACTCCGCCTTAAAACCAAATGCAACACCATTAATTCATGGCTGGTTTAAACCATTTCATTTTTTCCTCACCTCCTGCACAGCAGTGCTGTCTTTGAGTCACTCAAAAGCCAGCAGCTCCTGCTCTGGTAATGTTCTGTTTAGGAGTCAGGGGTATAGGAGGTGATCAAATTGTCATAAGCATCAGTTCTAAATAGTCTTAAACCAGTACGAACCCTCAAAGCAATTTTATTTTTAAATCTATATATCCATGTATATGTAATTAATATATATGACACATACAACTATGTGTATGAGACCATGTACCTATGAATTCTTTTTTCTTTTTTTACACCATTGTATTATAAAACATTGTTCATACTGTATTTCTGCTCTTTTTTTTTTTTTTGTCTCAAGATAGATTTCAAGCTTTTAAAGAACAACTTCAGGTAGGAACTTCTCGGTTTTTTTGTTTTTCAATTGAGATCATTTAGTGAAGTTTTTAAAGAACAACTTCAGGTAGGAACTTCTCAGTTTTTTTGTTCTTCAATTGAGATCATTTAGTGAAGAATATGACCTCATTTAGAAGAACCACGTTAATTATAGAAAAATAATGTAAAATAACGTAAAATATTCTTGCAAACAGATATGAAGAATGCTTAAGATTTTTCCCAGTCTTACCCTTTTTTTTTTTTAAACTAGAGAGCTGTATTATTAATGCCGTATCACAAAATCTCAATTGAAGGAGTAGGAGGTGAGCAATAAAATAAAAATTAAATTTCCTTCACCATTGCCAGTAATCAAAACCAGTTTCGTTGCCGTGGAAGACAACTATTTAAGGGTGGCAGGGTTTTTTTCCCGCAGAGCATACATACACAGTCGTCAGGGTCTGCTTTAACTGATTTGCAAAGTTACAATACAACATTACTAACAGGTTTTCTGCAGCTGTTGAAAAAGTCAGGATCAGATATTGGATCCATCAGGTACGAACGAATAATATTGGCCCGTAAACCTTTTGGTGCTTCATTAGTCATCTTCACTCCACTCTGAAGTACAGACACCGGGAACGTGGCAGATGGGTAACTGGTGAGCCAAATTCGGAAATCTGGATGTGTGGTATCAGGGTTTAGCTCCTACAATAAACACAGACAAAAACAGGCAATTGGAAGACACAATAGATTAATACACACCTCAAGTGTTATTACTGAAGCATTTTTTTAAGTGGGAAAATATACCAGTCTAGAGTTCAATTTCTTAGATGCTTACATGTGATTATAGTGAAAGTCACAGTTATGAACCACATCTTCCCTTCAACAGCTGGTGTCTTTCTTTTTATTAAAGATTCAGTATTTTGAACTAAAATTTGTCCTCTCTGTGCACGTTTGTGGAATATATGAACAAAACCAAGTGCAGGCTCTGTACCACAAGAGCAATGGAATGTATACTTTGCCCATTTACTGCACTTACTGTCATCCTGCTGTTCTGGAAAGGGCTATAGTAGTCATACGTATACATCAGAAACATGTTAAGTTTATTAAGGGTGGGGGGAAAGAAAGAAATATACACTAGTGCCTCTTTGGAAACCTATAGCTGTTCAAGAGTAAAATTCCTTAACATACTGCTTTTCTGCAGCAATACACATGTATGATGAGAGCTCTTGGCCTGAAGAGACTGTTGGAGCAGCTGGGATTTACCATTCAAGGAATGGGCCAGACCCACCAGGTTTGTGAGCATTTTCTATTCCAGCAGGCAGAAGGATAAAGACAGAATCAATATGTGATGATTACCCTCATATAATGGGAATCATCATGAAGCATGCTAAGCTGGCTTTTCAGTTGCTTGTATGGATCAGACATGCCTTCAAACGTATTTATAAGAAAAACATAATACTTATTTTTCCCTGTCCTGGCTGTGTCCCCTCCCAGCTTCCCATGCACCCCCTGCCCCCCTTGACTGCTTAGCAACAACCCAAAACATCAGTACGTTATCCACATTTTCTCATCCCAAATCCAAAACACAGCACTATACCAGCTACTAGGAAGAAAGTTAACTCTATCCCAGCTGAAACCAGGACATTACCTCACAAACTCTTTCCAGTATTGGCATCCATGAACTTGCTAGATGGCAGTTTTGCAGAACTATCCATGTTCCTTCCTTTACCGCCTTCTCTATCATTTTCATGGCTATCGGGCCTTGGCCTTGACCAAGTGACAGAGAACTAAGCTTTGTCCCACCGTATCCCTAGACATAGAAAGCATATTATAAGTAAGAATAATATTGCACTAAACCTTCTGGTATGAGACTTCACATCTGTATGTATTCTTGAAATATTTAATGTACAAGTATATTTTAGAATACAGTTTAAATCTTTTTTTTCCATCTCATTCCAGTTGACTAAACCCTCTTATCTATCTTCCAGTGAAAAGCTCCAGCTACACATCCATTTAATCTGGAACTGTAAAATTCTGAGAGTTTCAAAATACTCCTGAAAACAGTATGCTCTTTAAGGAAGTAGACAACCTACTATAAAATGCAGGATAGATCTGCAGCTTGGTGGTTGGAAGCTTGAAGTACGTCTGTCATTCTCAGCAGCACAGAATTCTGACAGAGTAATAGCCAGGAAATGCAAGAAATGCCTATTACCAGAAAATAGCAACTTTCTAGTACTCTAACAGTACTCTTCTACATAAGAACTGATTTAGGCTGTTGGGAATCTTTTGTTTTAAATACCATAATAATGACAGTGAAAGCCAAGAAAAATCCATATTGGAACTGAGGTGTAAATGCCACCCGAGATCCTAAGCTCCTATATTACTACAGTGTTTTTAAATTAAGTTATATATTACACATAATGATTATTAGGAAAAAAAAATTTCAGAGAAGATTCCTTACAATGAACATTTAAACCATTATGGTTTTGTTCTAGTTTTCCATTTTCCATTTGAGATTACACAAATTGGTTAAACAGATGGTGACATCACAACATTATAAAATATGCCAAAGATATTTAACTTACAATTTCTTATAAATGATAGTCAAATTATTCATTCATAAAAACAATGCACTTGCATTAATTAGTGCTTTGTGTTAAAAAGAACCATGAGATCAATTTTAACATTGTTTTGGGCTTTCAACAAGTTGTTTTTGAGCTTACTTTGGCATTTCAACTTTTACTTAAAGCTCCTTCCTTCATGCAAATATGTGCACGCACACACAAGCATCAACTATATTGAAAAAGTCTGGACATATTAAAATACCTGATCGTCGGCAAACTTAAGAAGGGCTGCCATGGGGTCGGCACCAGGAGAAAGTATAAATATCAGTGGAACACAAGAATGACTATCAGAAAAAGCTTTTGACAAATCAAACGGAGGTGGCTCAATAAACGGACGGCCCAGGTTGTGAACAACAAATTCCTGCACCATTGGTATTATCTAAAAAAGGAAAAAAAAAAAAAAAGGAAAAATGGAATTAAAGTGTCCTATTTTTGTGCAAGCATTAACACTCTAAACATTTTAATATAAGTTTCAAGGACAGTGTTCCTGCATATAAAATTAGATAAAAGTACAATCTCAGAGGAATCAACAATTTAGCATGTGTAAATCTATGCAAAAAAAAGGCTCTAAGCTTGACGATGCTTTAAGAGGATTGAAATCAGAAGTCCTATGCGAGTGATCCTTAATCTAATTTCCATCACCACATCTGGACCAGTGGTGGTATCAGAAGCCAGATTTTTTTTCTGCACTTACTCCATCTGTATTATGGAGATGATTTCAATTTGCCAGTCTCATAATGCAACATCTTTCAAAGGTGTTAGGATCTTGGCTTAAAAGACTGCTATGTACAGCAGTCTTGTACACACTGGTGTTTAAACTTCCTATTAGAAGTTAACTGGGCTCTGTACCAAAATTAAGAGACAATTTATAAAATGACAGCTTAATGCTTTGATCCTGCAAACCCTTATAGATACAATACTTTAAATATCACCATCCATTCTATCTCTGGACACACCCTAGAATATTTCACAATAACCACCTCCCTTCCCTTTAAACAAATGTAACAGTATTTGCAAATGTGATACTAAGATTTAATCTCTGAACACAAAGTTCAAGAATTGCTAAAGGTTTCAAACAGCAATGTTAATTCAACCACTTTTGTCACAATCAGTAGAATTTTTTTTTTAATTTCTGTATTCATAACTAGAGTTTTTAACTTGCATTTTTGACGTTTCCATTATAAAATTTGTAATTTTCATACAGCATTAGCATAGGTGCTTTCAGTTAATAAACATATGGTGTGACCGAGTACGCAGAATATGACACAAGGGAAAAAACGTTCCAGTAGCTTAACTTCTCTTGATTGCCCTGCTCATAAACTCACCAGTGTTTTTACTTACTTTAAAACTTATCCTGCTTTACAGGTGCAATGTGTCACCAATTAGTATAATGCCTTAAATTTGAGAGCAGGAAGGAGGTTCTGGGCTATACTAATTGCAGGCTTTATAGATGGAGACACTCTTGAAAGAGCTTGGTTTGGCTTCCAAGCTCTTGAGTGATTTTAAGGATATGTATGAATATGAGAACCGTTTAAAAACCTTCACAAACTGGCCTTTTATAGAGAACTGCAAGTGCACTCCAGAGAATGTAAGTCTGAAAATTGATATTTTGACTATGCCTTATTTTTTATATGCTGTGCCTTAAGTTAAGTATATTGTTATATATAGCAATATATGTGCTATTAAGTATATTCCTGTTCAAGAAGAGTTGTGAGCCTCCACCAAGACTGAAGAAGGTGAAACATTGAATACTCCAACTTTCCTCTGTTCCCTGCTCAGAAATACTGTAGTAGGATGACTGGCTTCTGCATGTTCAGCTTACTAGTCCAGCTACAGAATTGAATAAAGTTATTTTTCTTGTTTTCTTTTTTTTTTTTCTCTTGTCACTCAAAAGTTGATTTCTTCTATTATTTAATCTTTCTGACTGCAAATTTTCATTTATAAAAAAGAAGCCTGCATGACAAGAAACGCATCCAGCAGGAAGGATGAAGTAGCAGAGTGATCACTACTTAAAATTCAGCAACTGAAATTATTTAAATTTTAGAAAATTAATATTTATGTCCCTGCAGGCTTTGACTTGAGCATTAAAAAAAATCCACCTGACTTCTACTTAGGCACACACACAAAAATTCCAGGCTGGATCTCAGATGAGTCATACTGCAAGAGTTATTTGAGAAGGTGTGAAGTTCGATAACTGAAACAAACTTACTTAATTTTTAGTGTTCTGGCCTGATGTGATTCTAAAGTGTCAGAAAAACATAGAGGTTAAAGATGTAGCATTTTACTCATTTAATTTATATTTAAAGATTCTGTATGTCCATGGTCCTATGCTGTGTTTTTTCTCTGAAAATATTCTTTAAAGTCCTGGCTATGGCAGATCTCACGCACCGCTACTGAAATGCCTGTGTAGCATGGCATCTACTAAACATTATCTGGTAGAAGAAAGCTACTCCAGTAGCCTGCAGAAATTCATTCACTACTTGTAGCCTATTTGTTCTTCCGTTACTAATTGCTTATTTACCTTCTTGCCGCCCTCACTTAAAACGTATTTTCCAGCCTGATCTGTGCTGACAGATACTGTGGTGAAAGGCGTTATTTGCAAGCTCTCAGAAGCAGCTTACTAATGTGAACTTGAGCACTGTGTTGGATGAGACTCTAAACTTCTACACTATCACCTGCAGATGGCAAAGGCGGGCTTTGTCCACTGTCCAAATGCAAATGAACCAGATGTGGCAAAATGTTTCTTTTGCTTGATAGAACTGGAGGGCTGGGAACCAAATGATGACCCATGGTAAGCACAGATGTAGCAATGTTCTTGAAGTATTCCTCCAAATGTCTTTGACAACATCCCCTTACTTCTTATAAAATTTCCCTGTAACAGTTTACAAAACTGAAGCCTATCAAAAGTTTATCTTAGCCAGTAACCTTGAAATAGTTCATAATTTGTTAATTATACCTCGCACAATTCTTCACAGTTCTTTCATTTTGCCTCCAAAGAGAACACCTGCGATTCAACAAAGTAGAAAACAGTTTCTCTCAACATTGTAAACTCAGTATAAATCTTCCCTTGTATCTTCTTGGCTCACAACTACCTCTTATCTGAGATCCACTAAAATCTATTGCATGCTTTTGGTATGATCTTTTTTCTCCTGATAGAAAGTAGAAGTACTGAAAAGATCTGTCTGTTCAGATTTCTTCATCTCTTGAAATGTAATTTTCCTGGTTTTAATACCTGTTCTTATTCTGGGTTTATGTTGCAGGGTGGAACATACCAAACGTCACAGCTGTGGCTTTTTATCCCTTACCAAGCACTTTGATGACCTGACAATGGAGGAGTACTACATGCTGGAGATGACACGGCTGAGAACCTTCCTTGTAAGTATTAACCAAATAATCTTAATATAAGATTCAAAGCTAGAATGTAAACAAGAACTTCCATCTCTAAGATTTCCAAGCATCAGTAAGGAGTGATTGTGAAGGCTAGAACATGACTTACTCTAAAGTAATGACTTACATGTATTATTGGCTACTTCTCAGTGTAGTCTATTGTCTAGTTTTTGAAAGAACACCTGTTTCCTTTAGAAATGTTTTTCCAACAACTCATTACAGCAGAAAAAATATCTTGGGTGCAATAATCAATCAATCCCGGAAGCTCTACAGTGAGCAGCTCTATCCTTCTCAGGAGGGATGAATACCACATGTGAAAAGACAAAATTTGACCAGACCATTGCTTCACATGTTGAGTTTGACATGTAAATCAGTCTGTCTAAGCTTTCAACCTTCAACGGCCATTTCAAATGTTTTAGTTATCCAGTTTTACTCCTCCCCATTTCTGGGATTTCATGCATGCCACAGTGTTGACATATACAAAAGCATACAAAACTGAGCTGCTTCAACTAGTTAATCAAGATCAGCTGATCTTTGATAGGACTTCTAATTCTATGGATAGTAAGAATCAAGTGAACCAAGTTCCCTGATGAGGCACAGTAAAGGTTCTGCATCTTACTTCCTGGCGGGTTTGCACAAATAAGATCTATGCCTTGCTGATAATGTTCCATATTGAAAATATACCTGGTGACTGTCAAGGTTAAGTATTTAAGTTCCCTATACAACAGACTCAAATACATAAAAACTGATCCAGAGTGTGTTGCCATCTTGAAGCACCGATATCCTAATGCATCTTGGGAAGCAAGATCATACCTCTTCACACAGAGAAGAAGATAAAACTGAAGCCTCCCTCCTGATATGATTTAAAATACAGCTAAACAGAAGGTTCACAGTTTACTTTAAAAGAAAAAGTATACTAGACATAACCAAAAGTGGTCACTGAACTGAGCCCTACTGGCAAGGCTGGTGGGGGAGTTTCTGAATCAAATGGGAGTATGCACATGAAATATCTGCCAAACTGCTCTGCGACGTTCAGACAGCAGTATTACTGACCATGGCCAAAAGCAGACTTCTAAGCTAGAATTAGTGGCAGATCAGTAGGTTTTTGAGCATCTAAGTTTTGAACGTAGTTGAAATAGTTAAATTGCACAATTGAAAGTCTCAATCTTTTGCTTTGCTTTAAGTGTAAAACTGGCAGAAGCATAATAAACTCTTTTGAAGAAGAAGTCAGCGCAACTAGGCAGCGTCTTGTGGATAACTTTGTCTCCAAGCATCAGTATACGCCACCGCCGCCAGTGCCTCTCCATGATGATCCACCTGCCCAACATTCTGAAAGCGCACACTGCCAGTCAAAAAAAATCCAGGAGAAGTGAAGTATAAAGTCTGACTCTGGAAGTATTGCTTCTTTATATAGTATAAACATTTGTATTTTTATCTGAGTACTAATATAAAGCCAAACAATTGTGTGAGGAAGTGTAGAGAATTCCTTTTACAGGCTCTCTGGATCAGAGGTCATAACTGTTTATACTAACTCCTATCTTTCACAATGTGCTTTGTCATTATGGCTAGGTGTGGACTAATAGTAGTCCCACTAACCTGTGAATATATGAAAAAATGTCTAAGCAAATACTATATTCTGGTTTTTAGTAGGTTGACTGTTTTTTGGAATAAAGATTCACAACTGTGAGCACCAATTGTGATTTGTGCCACATTCAACCCTTAACAGCTAGACAGACTCAAATCAGAACAGTTCCGCTTCAAAACACTTTCCATAAAACAAAAAGGATCAGTGCTTCTGCAATAATTGCTACCTTTAAGCACCTACGTTATCTACATTCCTCCTTACCATCAAATTATCTTCCTAGATCAGATGAAAATTACCATAGATAGTGATATCCATCAAAAAAAGTTACATAAGCAAGAATAGCAGGCATACTGAAAAAGGAAAGTCACAAGGTTTGTAAGACAGTCTCAAGGAGGAAGAGCTCTGGGATTTTGGTATGTACACTGAAACTGAACAAAAGCTAAAGACCTACCCTTCTATTTTAAAAACCTTTTTCATTACAATTCCAAACTTGCTGGTCTTCTGAAGTCTCATTAATTCCTATTTTCCTTTATGATAGACTGTGGTAGAATGGTTGTAGACAACACAGTTGGAATGCATACTTGTAAATATTCTTGGTTTCTAAGATGGACAGACCTTTCTGCATAAGGTGAAAGTTTCATACATACTTTGTCAGGTCTCAGGCAGCGAATGATAAGCATCCTTTGGAACTCCCCCAACTTGTCTTGCCACTCTGCAGGAAAATCCTCATGCTGAGGATCCTAAAAACATACATATTTTGACATTTTTTTAAAGCATTTGTGAAGTACATCATCTCTTAACTTGACACATGAATCCATGATGTATTTTTTCTTAATCTACAGAAATGGGGTTGAGATGCTTAAAGCTTAAAAAAACAACAACAAAATAAACCAAAACACACAACTTTAAATATACGTTTAAGAAGCTTCTCTTACAGTACAGAAGTTATAGTAGTTTTTAAGTGTTTAAAAGAGAATAAGCCAAAGTTCTTCTGCAGAAAGTGGAGAAAGAATGAGCTGGAGGAAACTTCAAAAATGCACTTTACCTCCCTCTAACCGATAGAACTGAATTATGGTGTCAGTCTTCAATATTACAATGATAATCAATGACAATCACATCACAGTACTACATGGTAACTATGAGTGAGGTTGCATATGAAAGCAGAAAATGAGCGCAGGAAAACAGGAATCAGAAAATTAAGTCAAATGTACCAGAACCCTAACTTGTAAATGGCCTCTGAATAATCCGGATGTTATGTTGTTACTGCTGTTATCAGACTGGGAAGAGAAATGGTTGTGCAGCATGTTAACTTCTTATTAGACTGAAGTAGAGTGCCAGCTAGGTATGCCTTTCTGGAAACTGGTATTGCAGCTCTGCTGGTGAGCCTCTTGGCCTTGCCTGTAAGGGTTGGGCACGGAGGTATGCAGACAGACCTGCACAAACTGCATTCTGAGCAACTTTGATTTATCAAATCACAATGGAGCTCATGTTCTGCTAAGGATGTGGAGCCTGACTCCCTCCTTCCCCAACTTCTAGGCACTTAGTTTCAGACTGGTATCCAGAATGCTGCATTGTTTTTATATTACTATATGGGAAAAATAGGTACCTCAGAATGACATCTATAACAGCTGTTGAGGAGTTTAGCTAAAAATTTGCAAGCTAAATTCATTTGAAAACTGAATGAATCAGGAAACACTTGAGGAGTGAAGGTTGCACTGAAGACTCCATTGAGTTGTGCCATAAGCTCTTCACTTATCCATGAGAAGAGATGCATCAGTAGCTTTGAGATTAAGTCAGCCAGCTGGAGGAGAACTCCCAGACAGGCAATACAACTTTAGGTAAAATACCTGGTACCCTTGAAGTGGGGAGTTGAAGTCAGGTGTCCCCTACTTCTGGAAGCAACCTGATATACAACAGTAGTAGGAGAAAAGTGCATCTCAAACTCCTTTGAAAAACATTCATATTCAATGTACGGTTGCTGATGGCAAAGTGGCTCAAGCAACACTGTTTCTTGTGCCCACTCTCTTTAACATACATGCATGAAACTGTCCTTTATTTAAATTTGTGTATCACTAACAAGACAGGAAAGAGAGCTGGTTGCATATTGCTAGGGATAAACTATACTGGTGATAAAAATACAGCTATCAAAAAGGAATAAGGCCCATTAACTAGCATTTTTTTAAATTCCAGTGCATTCACATGAAAATACTGGTATTAAAGCTAGATAGGTAATGAAAATATTTTCACATAAAAAGTGAAAGGCACAGCAACTCTGCTATACAGCACAGTGATAGATAACGCCATTCCTTTTGATCTAGCACTCAAGTTTCAGTAACTGAATGTTCTTGGCTTCAGTGTTACTGTTTATTAGATTCTCTATCAGTTAACTGATGACCTGATTCTATAGATCTCATTTTATTGAATGCCACTTAAATGAAGGAATTTCTAGTTGTTTCACAGTTTGGCTGTGTCGATGCACACAGAGCTATCACACACATCTTGAATCTTTACTTCTGAAAGTCGGCACCTTTCATTTATATTAGGCACTGCTTTAAAATGCTATAATCTCAAAGTTCATAATGAAGTAGGCCCCTCCCTCAATCTCTTTTTCAAATGCCATTGTTTCTCTGTTCATTTTCCAAGAGACTACTTCCAAAAGAAGAACTAAAGCCCTCAACTTGCTGTATCTTTTTGTAAATACCCAAGGAAAGCTTTATCTCTGATATTTGCCTGTTTCCTGCAACCTAGACAACTGAAGGAGCTGCAGCTGCTTAGTTTCTTTAATCTCTCTCATTGTCCATTTATGAACATTTCCAACCAAAAATCCATTCTTTTCCTCTCTGCATACTTTAAACCCCTTTGTTAAATAGAAAGGATTTCTAAATCCTTGACATTTACAATGAATAAAACACACAATTGGTCTTTTTGAAATGGGTGTAGGAAGTCCTGAGTCTGAATATTGCTGATAAATTTTCATAATTTAAATTAAAAAGTGAGAAAAATGGTTCAATGAACTAGCACAAATAGACAGTATTATCTGAACGTGGTAGTGCTTATGGTCAGATATGGTGCAAGTAGGAAAGAAGGATAAGTTTTTTTAATCATTTGTTCAGGAGGTATGTATATGATGAGCACTTTGCATATCAAGAAGCAGAAGGGGGGAGTAAAATAAAATGAGGAGTCAATAGTAAGATTAAAGATGAGGTAAGTGCCCAAATATACAGTAGATTTTATCTACAAAAAGGGCTTAGGTTTTAAGGAAACAGTGCTGAATTTAGATAAAGTCAGCTATTAATGCATATATCAGGTCACTTTGAGGATAGGGAATCACAGGTCTCCCAAACCCCATTCTAGTTTCTCCACGTGGTAATAATTGGGGTTTTTTCCCACTTATCCAGGAAAGCAGCATGCTACATAATAGCATGAAAAGGCATCCTCAAAGCATGGTAAACAAATGTATAGACTGAGAAGGGACAATGGTTGCCTTAAGTTTAGCAAATTTCATGATCACCTTACCACTCCAGGTTTTGTTGCCTTTTTTCCATTCAAATTCAATTCAAATCATGACTTGTTATGCAGAAGGCACCTGACAAATTGGCAATAATCTACTACTACACACTATTTGTTTAAATATTTACATTCATATATGTAGGAACATACCATGTAAAATGACAGCAATTTCTTTTCCCTGAATAAATATTTTCAATGTGTTAATTAGCTTATGAATGCAAGCAATCAGGAACGTTAACATACCAAGCTGCCATATACCAATTTCCATCCATCCTTCAGCCGCATAAAATCCTCGCGAATGTTTGTGAAGCATGGCAAATCTTCTAGTCGACAAATTTCATCCCACGATTTTGAAGGGAGCCAGGGACATGGATTAGAAAAGGGATTGTCCAAACCTATGCCTCCAGTCAATAGAAATTTCCACTCGTTCTCATTAATCTACAATGAAAACCAGTGTGCTCAGGACCAAATATATGAAATCTAATGGTTTTAGTACATTATGTAGGAAATCAATACATTTATCTGAATTCTTGCATTAGTTGAAAAAGCTTCTATACAACTACTGTGAAGCTTATTTCCAAATTATTCAGTGTCTGGTTTTCAGTTAAACGTGAATTTAAGGAATCAAAAAATCTAAGGTATGAGCCAATTTAAAGATTCATCTGCACTCCTAACTTGGGGAATGAACAATGTTAACTGATGAGATTTTTAGATCCATTATTCAAATCCCGAAATGTTGAAGGAAAAAAATACTGGACATATTTCAGGGAACCACGCATTTTGCATCCTTTTTCTATAATGCAAGTCCAAATATGAAAAAGAAATATCAGCCTATTACATGTATCATTCCTTTCTCAGTACTCCTTTACCTCAAAATTTCTTTGATGGCTTCAATTTGTAAATTGAAGTCCCTGTGAATGGGAGAATGGTGTCCCAGGATTATTACCATCAGCTCGTGAAAGAATTCATTTCTATATATTCCCCGATATAAAAATTTCAAAAGTTTCTAAAATTTTAAATCTTTCCATATTACACTGAAAGAAACAACCCCAAGCACCCATAAGTACTGTTTTGCAGATGATATGGTTAAAATGCGTGTATTTCATTAGGACTTTAAAAAGTCCTGTAAAGAATTACTAAAAATGAATAGAATTCAATTGGTACAAGTGTTTGATCTTGAGGAATTCTATGCAAAAATAAGCACATTTATCACCTTCAGTGAAAAAGATAAATAGTTTCTTAAATCAATGGTTACAATTCATTTTGATATGCTCTTAGAACTTGGAATACATTACAGTAAAATTTTGCAAAGTGTTCACTGTAAGAATGACATAGGCTGGGCTTTTACCATTTAGAAAAACTGTTATCATCTAGCTCAGTTTTGCCATACCTGTTTATTATGTATTTCTTTATTCTAGAGAATCTTTTTCAATGCTTGTAATTGCTTATTAAAATGAAAATAAAGCACCACAAAATTGAGGCTTAAGTAAAATATATAACCTTATTTTTCTATTCTTATCCCGTATGTTCCTATTACTAATATATCAAACTGCATATGCAAACTATATCATATCAATTTTTTTATTTTTAATTACTGACCAATTTTTCATATTTGAGGAGATTCACAGTTAGACAAAAAGAGAAGAGCAGCTTGTCCTTTTCAAAGAGGGAGCGACACACATTGACATAAAGTGAGTATGTAAAATGATCCTTGAGGATCTTCAACCTACAGGTGTCAGAAAAAAGAACAACCTTCCATTAATATCACTTTAAAGAGTGAGCACTCTGGAAACCTATTACAAACCATTTAGATCTCCTTTGTTCTAATAAACTCTCTGGTTCGTTACCCCAAAGCAATCATTAAATGCATGTACCACTTGTGAGCAAAATAATGTAAAAAAACATTTAAGTGCAATTACATCTTAGTAACACATGATTTTCAGAGCAAGCGAGAGGTCCCTTTTTGGGAGGGGCAGAAGAGAGCAGCAATTTTAAAATTCATAAATATATATAAATACCAAGGACCAAGGCCAAAATTAAAACAGTCCATCTTTAAAGGTTATCTGAAATGTGTTTCCTGTTCTACAGAGCATTTTCCTTAATATACTATAAAAACAAATATATTTTAAAACGTCAGTGATTTATTATCAATAATTTCCTTCAAATACAAAGCAGGCCATCTATTGTTTTATGAAGGTTTAAGTTTGAATACCTTGAATACCTAGTCAAAGTAAGGAAAATCAAGTCGTGGTTAGAAATGCAGTGTCTGAATTTGCACAACTACTTTAAACACTTCTTTCAAAGTGGTAACAAAGACGTGGAGAGGTGCTATGGCTTTTTGGCAGGGAGCTACTCAGAGGGTACTCCTACAGTGCAGACATAGTGATCATTCAGAAACGTAAGTGTGATCTATTATAACTGAAAAGGAGAAAGCTTTTGACAGAAGATTGAGAGCAAGCTATGTTGTTTGATTTGTGTCTCCTTTTCAGTCTTGTGTTTCAATGTTTTTTTGTTTTCTTCCACTCAGCTAACAAGAAATAGACCATTTTTAATAATTACTATAATATATAAATGCTCCTGTTTTCTATTAGCATTTTAAGTCCTTTCAAAATTACTGATTCCTCATCAGGTACATAGATATACATACAATTTATACACAAAATATTGACACAAAGATGGCCATAGCACAAAATGTAAACTTTTTTTCATGTTACAGAAGTAACAGGGTTTGAATGGGAAAAAAAATGATTAAATAAAAAAATCTCAGACAAAGCCTGTAGTAAAAAAATGTCTGACTAGTGAAGATAGCCCAATACATTCTTATGTGAATTATTAATGAGAATTTTCTGTGAGTCTGTCTTCCTTTGCCTTCACTGGGCAAAATTATCAAAATGGGCTTACACCAATCATTCCCTGGGAAAACATACTGTTAGCTGGCATTCAGGTGCTGTATCTTTATATTACTGCTGACAGAAAGGTTCTGAATCAAAATTAGATTATTTTATTTTTTCCTTACTTTAATTTAGGCACACAGGCATACAGAGTTTTTTTGAGCTATAAAAGAGTAAGATTTAAAGTCAAAGAGCTAGGTTTATAGAACAGAGATTGCCTTATTGGTAAAAGGCTACCTTGAATGTAGTTTCAAATATGATACCAAAATATTAAGCTCTGACTTAAATGATGAGCATCATTGTGCTAGATGATGAGCATCATGATGCTAGACTTAGATTGCCCAGACCGTGACTAAATTCTAACAGAAGAAATAACCTTCATAACAAGTATGCCACTAAACTGAACACTACACATTAAACTACACACCAAGTACTACCTCACCAGGTACTACAACTTACTTGTATTTAAATAAAATATAGACAGTAATGGATAATTCAGAAATTGCCATTTGCAATATTAACTAGAAAAATTTTCTGTATACAAATTGGGAGAGTAATTTCCCTCTCCCAACCTTTGTTCATTTGATGAACAGGCAAGTAGCTAAGTAACAGAAGCAATGCTCTGTGATCTTAAGATTAAATAAAGCCACTAAAGTAGAATTTAGTAACTGATGTGACAGAACACTGAAAAACTTTCTTTAAACAATCTCTGTGTAAATAATTCAATTCAAGGGTATATTTTGAATAATCCTAATGTGATCTGTGAGGTCCATCACATGTAACATAAATTCAGATCATTAAAGATTGTACAGTTTCTCCTGTTCTCATGAACAAGCTGGAAGAGGAAGGGACATCTTAAGTACAAAACAATAATCAAACTGAATTTAAAAAATGGTTGGGTAATTACTGCCTTGCACACCCTGTAGCCAAGAGCTGCAGTGACAAGACTTCATTCTCTCTCACCAGTTCTGTGAAAAAGTTTCTTGTCTGTTTCTTGAAGACATACAACGTCACTATATGAAATGAAATATAAAAGTGGACCATTTTTATGTAACTGATACTTTGTAATTTCACACATGACTTGAGGTAGCAATTATTAAATAGAAATAGTGGAATATGTTGCACTTGTAATATATTGTACCATTTTGTTTCTATGAATAAATTATTTTCCAGAAAAGTATCCGACATGTATATGTACAAAAAATATTTCAAAACACAATGCCTGAGACAATACACTTTGGAGTAACGATAGTAACATTTCCAGAGTAACTATGAATACATCACCAATTACAAATGGTGAATTATCACTCTTACCTTGTTTGTAGAACTTCTGATTGCTCCGAATTATCTATAGACATGATGAAAAGGTTAATAAACCACATGAGTGAATACTGGTACATTGGCTCAATGTTGGCTAGATCAGCTATAGAAAAAAACAAGATTGACGAATGGATAGCAATAGGACGATAGCCCATACGAGTAGCATCAATCTTCTTTTCTGTCTCTTCAGCTACAGCTTGCTTTTCAGAAATCTCATTAGCCAGAACTTTGGAAGAAGACAATATCTTGATAGCAGTTTCATCCTCCAAAATGTTTCCTTCTGAGGCTGAAAGAACTTCTAAAATCTTGTCTTCTATTTCTTTTAGTTGTCTAAAATAATAGACAAGATTTTTCACATATGAAAGTTACAGCTGTTTTCTGTGAGTTTCTATAAAGACAATGTGTAGAATTCTATTCATGGTATGCAACTTACATAACAGACCTTTTTTTCATATTAAATTTATGAAAAATTTATCCACTCTCAGGCTAAAAATGGATGGCAAAGGTAAGAAATGACAAACCGCTTTGAATACTGCACATTTCATGCTTCAACCCATGGGTAAGGATGCCCTTTGCCATGTAAAATCAGTGTAAATCTAGCACGCAATGAAAACATTTCTAAAACACAACCATTAATATCTAATCAAAATTTGTGAAGACAGCAAATCATATGCCAACATCATGGAAAGGATACATAAAAACACAGGACAGGATCAAGAGTTACCTTTTGCAATTACACAACCCACAATTCTGCTCTTTAACATTTTCTAGTAATCCCAGAAATAGGAAACCATATCAGAAGAACAGCACAACCAGTAAGAATATGAGTAAGAGCATGCACCCCAATCAGCCTAAAAACAAACAGAAGCCTAACTTTGGGTTCTCAAAAAGAAAAAAAAAAAAAAAGGTCTCAGAAATGTATTTCTTTAAACTGCAATCTGCTCTATCCCTAGCAAGGGAAGTTATCTTGATACCTTTTATTCTCAGCCCCTTGAAAGATAAGGGCTTGTTTTTCTTCTTCAAGATCTGGCCTTTCTCTTGCAACTACAATTCCAAGAAGCTGATCCTGCATTCCTTCTGAAGTTATCATGAAGTTCAATAATGTTACCTGTTAGAAGAAATATTTTTTGAAAGATAGCACAGTTATGGCCAGATGCAATTAAAATGCTTCTTCATTTACAAGATGGAATTTGTATAAGATCATGTAATATGCTCAACCAGACTTTGAGAGTCAATAAATTGAAACTGACGGTTTAAGATAATGTGTTGAAAAGGATTAACCCAGAAAGTTAACCATAAAAGGGATCTGACAAGAATGTATAGAATTTCATTCTGTTCCTCAAAATTACACTGAAACTTTGAATATCAAAGTTTGTATAACATGAACTTTGACATGCAAGAGGGATCTACCCATTGATACCTGTATGCATCAAGCAGCCTTCACAGAGACAGGAGCAAAACATTTCTATGAATGGAAGATTCAACTTAATGTACAGATTTTTGTAAATAAATTTGGTATTGTTTGTTTTCCAGAATTGTTTCATCTGAACATCCCAGTGCACATTGGATGCTGGCACAGTATTTTGCAAAAATATACATAAAGACTTTTATCCAAAGATAGTAAAGACAAATTATTGTTTAAAAGAATTCCCATCCCATGACATATTTATAGTGGATCCAGAAAAACCCACATGCTCTTGCTGAAGAAGTGGCAAAAATGTACAATATTTTACATGAGAAAGGAAAGGAATACATTACCAGCAGAAGGCTAGAAAATAGTTTGATGCAAGTAGTTCAAAACGAAGAAAATAATCTAGTTATCAATCGTCAAGACTGATTAAAGTCTTGGTTTTAATTAATTGACTAGGTAATAGTGACTACAGCTCCTCTTTGGGCTTTTTTGGTGCATACAGATACCATTGACTTGTGTTTCAAAAAACATTCACCTTCAGCATAGTGATCAGTTAGAATATGGAATACCTGTGGAGTTAATTTGTCTTATCTGCTTCTGCCACTAATAATACCTGAAATTTGTCCAAATATTTGAGGCTTTTTTTCATTAGTTTTGCTTTAAAGTTAGGAGGGGTAGTATTTTAACTTTCTCAAAATACATCACTAATAGTTCTTTGTTATAGTAAGCCTCAACTGAAAAAAAATTAGCATATCACACTGTTCTTTGACACAGGAATTTTGAGAGGAGATTCACATCTATGTGACACTAAGAATCAATAAGATCTTCACAAGCATCATGGCGTACTTCTTCCTCACCTTATTTCACAATTTCATTAATGGGAAATATAAGAGGGACCTAATGTTTCAGAACTTCAAGAGTCTTGTATATGCTCCATTTCCCTCTTCAAAGTAAAAGGCTAGCTAAAACAGGGTCATGAGTTAGCTCTCAGTCAGAGCTGCCATGCTCAGAAAGGTTGTCTGGTTCAGACATCGGAAGCTCTGAGGTCTAAGTGCAAACTTCTGTCTACATCCTACATTTCTCCTTGGTCCCTGAGGGACAGAATGATATTTTTTATGGACATGAGTAAGTCACCTTTCCCTAAGCAATGCTGAAAATGATCTGATTTTTTTAGTGTTTTTTACTACATTTAATTAATAATGTTAGATACAGAAAAAAGCTACTCCAAATAGCTAATAACTGCAAATACATATCTATGTAGTGTAAATACACGTAAATCTATAACCTATGTCTCTTTGCAGGCTTTACTATGTAAGTCACACCAGAACTCAGTACAATCTTTCTCTGTGAAATACGATAACCATTTTCCCTGGACTCATTTCATTAGCTAGCTCCTGAATAATCCTTGGGAAAAGTTCACCAATGCATGTTGCAATTAGCTTCTGACCAAGATATTTAGATATCACTTTTCTGCCTCCTGCTCCCTGTACATGAGCCACCTTAGTCAGCTTGCCCAACAGTGCGTGGTGTAGCTGGGAGTATACGCAACCATGTCACAAAAAAACTGCTCCTCATTAGAGCAATTAACAACTTAAGTCTGACTGCGTGGAACCTGAGTAGAGAAAATTCATCTTTAGAAACTTTGTAATTGGGAGCGGGCAGGTGGAAAAGAAGACTGTATTGGCGGTTGATTGGCAATCAAAGATCAATGTCTAGGTGATTTGATGTGCATTGAAAAGTTATTCCCTTTCATTAATTTTTGTCCATTTTTCCTGCATCAGTACAACAATGAAGGCATTGTTGAAACGACTTCAATGTTTCATCTTTCAGTATAGTCTATGTTTAGTCAAAGTGTAAACGTGAAACAGTTTTTAAAAAAATAATAATAAATAAAAGGGGGAATATATCTCCCAAGCAACTTCAAAAAGACTAAACCATCAATTTTATTCTTTAAAGCAGGAAACCACCTTTTTTTTCCTAACATAGCAAAATAACTACAGTTATCAAATATATAAATGTGTAAATATATTTTCTATCTGTTATAAACAAGGCACAATGCCAGGAATTGCTCAGACTCCTGCCCCTAACTATACTACAGATAAAAATCATGAACATGAAAGCCCAATGTAGAGTTTGCATGCGAGGTGACTATTATATTAAGTCCTTGTAAATATTTATAAAATAAAAGGTGACTAAATAGCATCAGGAGATACAGACTGGGAAAGGTGATAAAATTAAATAAATAAATAAATTCCTGACAGTATGAAAGAAATACAGTATTGCAAGGTGAAGTATTAGATCTTAGAATTGTTGACATTTGTTGTATGATACCAGTCTTCTAGCAGTGTAAAAAAAAAACAAAACAGTGTTGGCAGGGGAGGAGGAATAAACAAATGCCAGAAAGTCTTTCCTGGTTTTAGCCAAGACATCATTTTAAAATTAAAACAGAGTTGCACATTCATTTTCAAAATTCTCACCTTAACAGATGTTTCAGGAAGATAATGTGGATTTCTCAGCTTAGTTGTAATATAAAAGCGGAATTCAGGAGCGTACTCGATAATGGAGTCTCCAAGGCAAATGCATATACTCCCTGACTGCTTAAATGTCTGTTTGAGCAAAAGTGGCTCTAGGATAGGATCAAGTTCTTCTCCAACATTCTCCAGTAGCACTTCAAAATAACGTAAGAATTAGTAGGACTTACTTGGTATTTATATTACTGATTGACTGTTCTTGACAATACCTATGTATGATGTGTATTTACAGTGTGCAAACAATAAAAATATAAATCAAGCAATATCTAGAGATAAGGTTAATGTCTCTTAGAGCATTCAGCTGACTGAAAAATGAATCCAAGAAATGTATCTTGAATTTATTTTTCTAGTATTATATAAATTTGCAAAAAAGCAACTAAAATGCTATCATTATTACTGCTGCCAATGGTTTAGAAGAAAAGTTTAAGGCTACCAATTTTTAAAAGGGAAATAACAACAAATTAAATGCCATATACCACAGAAATAATTTTGGGTAACTAAGTCTGCTTCAATTTTCACTGTAAGCATCTGAGATTGTCAAAATAAAGAAAGAAATAATGGAGAATAAACAATCCATTTCTTTATTTGTAGTCCAGTTAGCCATTGAAAAATAGCTGCAATTGTACCTATGTGTTTCATTAATTTATTTCTATTTGAGGGTAATAAGACTACTTGCAATAAATGTTACAGAGATAATAGAAATAGATACTACAGAGAATACAAGAATCATTAATGATCACAGCTTAGCAATCTAGTATTTATACTCTTGAAAAGCCAAATAAAAACAGCATTAATTTTCAGAAATAAAATTATTGTAACATGAAAACAAAGAAATGGCAAATCTCATAAAGCAATTAAAAGATACAAATTAAATTGAGTATTCTAATTATATTGTGCTAAGAAGTATCTTATAACCTGGGGTGAGGACTTCAATTACTATAGTACTAATTAGATTCAACACTAGAAAAAACTTTGTCAGTTTTCCTTAACTATGTGAACATTTGATTCTCACTGGAGTTTCATTTTTTTAGGTAATTGTGCCCTCTCCAGGCTCTTCTGTAATTTACACTTTCATTAGTAAGTAACCTACCGGGACTGCCAAACTGAATGCAATTTTCCAGTGTTGTAACAAATTGAGGGTCACTGAGTTTGATTATATGCAAGTTATTGGCTTTTTCCATGTTCTTTATCCATTTATTTGCTTGACCTTGAGGATCTATCATCAGGGGCCATCTTCTTGCATTACTGAAAAGAAAAATACAAAAAAAACTTTCAAAACTGAAATATAAGACCTTCAAATGATTACCTCAAAGTACTTCTTAAAGCAATTTATTCCCTTTTGTCATTAGAACAAAGCAAGTAGTAGGCACATGTTCAGGTATAATCCTTAATGAATTTAAAAGGACATAGATTAATCTTAAAAGTTCTTTGTTTACAAAAAATAATTTTCCTCTTTCAAATAAAGAATTTAGAATAAGACTTACTTCCTAGGAAGTTTAATTTTATAACACTATCAAAATAGAAAGATCACTAAGCTTTGAAATTTTGAACAGCTTTATTAAAGTCATATGCATAAGTGAGCATTTTCAAGTGAAAAAGAATGGAATTTCCCACTAAAGAGACATTTTAGTGTTAGTATAAAGGGAAATACACAAGCAGATTCAAAAGGTATCTACCTTTTAATCCCTAATCCCTAAATAGCAATAAATACTAAGAATTTCTGGATTTTATTTTTGGCAGACTTAGTGTCCTGGTTTCGGCTGGGATAGAGTTAGTTTTCGTCCCAGCAGCTGGTATAGTGCTGTGTTTGGGATTTGGGATGAGAATAATGTTGATAACACACTGATGGTTTAGTGTTGCTAAGTAGTGCTTATACTAGTCAAAGACTTTTATAGCTTCTCATGCCCAGCCAGCGAGAAGCTGGGAGGGGGCGCAGCCGGGAGAGCTGACCCACACTGCCCACCGCCCAGAAGGGTACACCATAACATATGACGTCATGTGCAGTATATAAACTGGGGGAGTTGGCTGAGGGCAATTGTATTGTGCATAATTTCTTTTGTATATTCTTGTATCATCATCATCATCAATAGTAATAATAGTAATAATTCTCCTCCCCATCCCACTGCTGGGGGGGAGGATATATAAACTGGGGGAGTTGGCTGAGGGCAATTGTATTGTGCATAATTTCTTTTGTATATTCTTGTATCAGCATCAGCATCATCAATAGTAATAATAGTAATAATTCTCCTCCCCATCCCACTGCTGGGGGGGAGGAGTGAGCGAGCGGCTGTGTGGTGCTTGATTGCCCGCTGGGGTTAAACCACGGCAGTTAGTAACTACTTCACAGATGTTTTACAGTATTCTCCACCACATATAGTTACATTACCAAGATACCTAAGACTAGTGACACATTTTAATGGTAAATTACAATTACAGCAATAATCACCTAAATAAGAAACCATCTAAGCAAGCAGAAGTGAGAATTCCAAAATAAATGTAATCCTAAACATTTAGATCAAGGGGTCCAAGCCAGATCCCATTTGGTTAGGAGGTATAATATAGTCTAGCACTGGAAGGAAAAAACCAAACACAGCAATACCTTTTTTTCCATGTGCAGCATAAACGGAAGTCTTTCAGACTACTTCTATGGACTCTATCGTTATTACAAGGTAGCTTACACACAATGATGCTGACAAATTATCATTAATAATTTTTGTCTAAATTGAACCTCTCTCCCATGAAAAATTCTTATTCACAAATAAAACTTGCAACGTAAACATATCTGTAGTCTTATTTTCCTTAAAAATACTACGATGAAATGTATGCAATTAAGTAGAACATCTCATTTTTGTCTAATCTTCAAATATACTTTTTTTAGAGAGAGTGATGTTTTATGAAAGCTTTCTATGAATTGTCAACAGAAAGCAGTAAGCTTTGAATTAGAAAAAGGTACAGAGCAAGAAGTTCTAGATACAGTGTAAGTTCTAAAAGACAATGCTCAGACAAACTTAGTTCAATGTAATCTAAAGTTCTTGCAGGCTTATTAGTTCCAAAATTGCTGGCAGGCAAAACCATGTAACACATTCTAAACCTTTATTGTCTTTCAAGAGAGTAATTTTAAAAGAAGCAAAGCACAGTTTAAGAGAAAAATATTCTCTGTTACAATCTCTATTCCACAAAAGTCTTCAGGACTGAGTGTAGCTGTAAGACCTATTTAAACATGTAAATATAACACACAATAACAGGCATGTAATCCTTAATCCAAGGGTTCAGCTATCTGGGACTCAGGTCCAGATCTGTGAAGCGCAGCTGTGTGATTCTGGATTATCATTACTGAAAAAATACTCTTTTTAAGCTGTGAGAGACTAGATAAGCAAAACTGTAAGAGACAAAAAGTGAAAACAAAGCCAAAAGGGAAGTTGGTTGCTTGGGAATAGTAACTCACAAGAAGTTATGGAACTTTAGAAAGAAGAAAAAAGCAGAGACTGTTGTCTATCTTTTTGGCAACCAATGTCAGATCTGGCAGCTCAGCAAGGTCAGGTACCAGTCCTTTCCAAGATGCAATGGAGGCCAACATTTCCCCACCTCAGTACCAGCCTTCTGGCTAGGGCAAACAAAGTTATGAGTGAAAAAATAATTCTATACTTGGAAATGATGGCTGATCCTGCTTGCAGAATCTCTGCACAGTAAAATGTCCCTAGATAAACACGATTCCCTTAGAAGAAGGAACATATATGGAGGTAGAGAGCACAAGCATCTTAGGTCCTTTGGACTGAAAATGGAGATTGTGGAAGCAAGATAGCAGCAGTTTAGCAGCAAAAGTTTTGGAAGAGAAATGTAGCATGTGTGGCAGTAGCCTGAGATTATACATGGGATGCTACAGAGGTTCCTTCTGTCACAAATCGGACTTGGAAGTGACCATTCACCAGCTGATGGAGGATAGCTTTCTTCCCCCTTGTAGAATGATTTATGAAAATGTGTCATCTGGAAGGGACCCTGTCCAGCCTACCCATGAAGGAAGAAAGCTTTCACAGGTAGATGCATTTAGAGATTCAGGAAATGCATTTGTAATCCACCAGGACAGTGTAATATCTAAGCAGACATTAAGAAAGTTAAAATGTGGGCTTTGTAAAGTTACAAGTATTTTGAATAATTTGACAAATACAGATAAGGACAAATGTAGCAACATAGTAGGTCTGGAGAAGCAAACAGAGGATTTTAAATCTGAATGAGGCAGTAGCATCAGCAGTATTAGAAGACAATCTCACAGTAGGTAACAGTCATTAGTTGGTGACAGTTCACCAATGGACCAAAGTGTACAGCTCAGAATTGCTGAGCTCCCAAATTGCTAGGTGGTTCAGCTCTTTATGAGAACCCAAAGGGAGACCCAAGGCATATATTGCCAGATGATTTTAAGAGTAAGATGATACAAGGTGATACAGCAACTGCAAACTGTAAACTGAGCACAGCAAACTTACATGTTAAGCACATTCTAAAAGACAATATTTATGTATGTAATTTGCTTATAATGATTTTGCTTGTTCTAATTTTAAAACAGGAATTTAAAATTTGAGAAAACCTCAGCTAAAACCCACAGTATGTATTTCTTTTCCTAATTACTTCAAAGTTTCATTCACATATTATTTTCAGCATATCCCATTTCAGACTTAACTGCGTAACAGACATGAAATACTTAAGATTGAATAACTAAAGAGTGGTTCTCTAATAACAGCCAAACATATGTATCTTTCATCAACAATAAAATCCTTCTTTATTGATGGGAATGCATAAGCAGTCACTGTGTATGTTTGCAAATTATCCTTGAATAGCTCTCTAATTCTGCTTTTAAAAAAAATCTGTTGTTATAGGAAGCTTGAGTTGCATTTTATATGGTTCCTGGGGTCCTAGTACAAAATTTATCTAGCCATGAACTCATAACTACAGGCATAATATGTATCATCAATTTGAGGTAAATTCTATCTCACATTTAAAAATTAAAAGCTATCACTATTTAGTTTTAAAATGCTAATCATCTTTCCATTCGTTCAAAGAGAATTTTCATCAAAGCTTTATAAAAATGAAGTGTTAGGATGTACTGTAGAAGTGTTGAATTCATTAACATTTGTCAACTGTTCAGCCTGAGTGATTGAGTTATCCACAGAATGGTTTAGGAAGAGACCGTCAAGTCCAACCATTAGCCTAGCACTGCCAAGTCCACCACTAAACCATGTCCCTTAGCATCACACCTACACATCTTTCAAATACCTCCAGGGATGGTGACTAAATCACTTCCCTGGGCATGCTCTTCCAGTGCTTGACAACCATTTTGGTGAAGAAATTTTTCCTAATACCCAATCTAAACCCCCCCGATGCAGCTTGATGCCATTTCCTCTCATCTTATTGCTTGTTCCATGGGGGAAGAGACCAACACCCATCTTGAGTGGTAAGTTCTCCCCTCAGCCTACTTTTCTCCAGACTAAATGACCCCAGTTCCCTCAGCTGCCCCTCCTAAGACTTGTTCTCCAGACCCCTCAGCAGCCTCATTGCCCTTCTTTGGACACGCTCCAGCACCTTAATGTCTGTCTTGTAGGGAGGGGCCCAAAATTGAACACAGTATTCAAGGTGCAGTGGACCAGTGCCAAGTACAAGGGTACAGTCACTTCCCTAATCCTTCTGGCCACACTATTTCTGACAGGATGCTGTTGGCCTTCTTGACCACCTGGGCACACTGCCTGCTCATATTCAGCCGGCTGTCAACCAACACCCCCCCCCAGTCCTTTTCTGCCAGGCTGCTCTCCAGCCACTCTTCCTCAAGCCTGTAGCGTTGCATGGGGTTGTTATGACCCAAGCACTTAGCCCATGTTGAACCTCAGACAGTTGGCCTCAGCTCATCAATCCAGCCTGTCCAGATCCTTCTGCAGAGCCCTCCCACCCTCCAGCAGATCAACACTCCCACCCAACTTGGTGTCATCTGCAAACTTACTGAGGGTGCACTCGATCCCCTCATCCAGATCATCGATAAAGATATTGAACAAGACCAGCCCCAGAACTGAGCCCTGGGGAACACCGCTTCTGACTAGCCACAAACCCGATTTAACTCCATTCACCACAACTCTTTGGGCCTGGCCATCCAGCCAGTTTTTTACCCAGCAAAGAGTACACACGTCCAAGCCATGAACAGACAGTTTCGTCCAGGAGAATGCTGTGGGAAATGGTGTCAAAGCCTTTACTAATTAATTTTATTAATACAGTAATTACTTAAAAAATGTTACATACACAATCATAATCCCAGCATATACCCTCTAACTTCAATAAGTAGTTTTGCTTCCAGAAGTACAATCAATTACAATTTTTTAAGTCAAATGAAAATAAGTTCAGGTTCTTCAGCTAAGGCATTACTTTGCCTTATCTGTTTCATTTTGCACTTTATCACCTATCCAGTTGCCAAAGCGGAAGTATTATCCACACATCTATGCTTTCAAAAGTTAACCCTATAATACACAATTTCAGTTACATGTGAAAACCTAACATTCACTCTGCAGTAAAAGAAATATTCTTTCACCAGTGCTATACAACATCAGAGTCCTCAAACAGTGAGAAGAATTGTCATCTAAACGGTAGCAAAAATTAAAGATATATATTAGTAACTTTCTGCAGTAGCATATTGTAAAAAAAGATGCATAAATGGTAGGTACGTGTTATCATAGACTCGACAACCATTAACCTGACTACAGAAAAGAATTATAAGAATTACTTATTCATTATACAGAATAGAGAACCAACGGATGTGAAGTAAATGGGTAGCAATCACAAAGAGAAAAGCAGTTAAAGCAACAATTCAGCTTCAGCTGTGCTGAGAACAAACCCTAAAAGCTAGAAGTCAGTAGCAGCACGTTAGAAAGCACACTGGACAGAACTGAGATGCTTGCTTTGTTTACAATAATAACACAAGTCTGAATGAAAATCACAACCACTTATGGAAGGTCTCAAAGCTTAGCCTATTGTAAGCGCCCAGCTCTGTATTTAACAAAACTGTTAGCACCGTACGGATCTCAGGCATCAGTAGGCATGTTAATCTAAAGCTAATCACTAGTGAGCTGTAGATATTTCTAGATGTTAAACATTAATGTGGTCAGTTCCCATGGCTATATGTTTTATACAAATCACTGATGTTTGCACTGATTGTGACATTGATCTATACAAGATGAACTCTGCGCAGACAAATGTAATTCTAGTGACTGTTGTGAGACACAGATGTGCATATATTAGAATACCACATTAAGAATATAGAATCGTCTTAAAAGTGAGAGGGAATAATATTAGAGTTCATGATATCCATATTTTCCTTCTATGAGGAATCTTGAGATTTCAGAATTTGTTTCACTTTCCAAGTAAGAATGAGAGTATCCTTAAATATGCAGAATTTTAAAATTTTTTTAGATCAATGTATTTTTAGATAAAGTCAAAGCATTTTATTTGGATGTAGCTTAAGGTAATTACAAAAGGGAAAATTTAAAAGCAAAAAAGGAATTGCAAAATGAAAAATAAATCCTTCTTTCCTTATCAGAACTTTCTTCAAGTTGTGATAAGACTGTTGTCATACTAACTACATTACGACAGGAAGCTAGAATTGCAACTGCCAAGCTTTTAACTATAAATAGTATTCTGTAAATTCCAGCACTCAAACGACGTAATTGAGTTTCTGCTATGAATTAACATTGTAATACTTCTTTTTAAAGTTCTTTGAGGACTGGACTGGGTGTAAAGAATACTTTGTGGCACCCCATTCATAATGCCTACTAAAGACGTCCCAACGCTAACCCAAAAACCAAAGCTCTCTTAGCTTTTGTCTAGGAATATGCCAGGTTGTTCTGTTCCAGAAGGGATCCTAGGAATGACTAGTTTGTATGAAGTATTGATAGTTAGGGGAATGAGGCCCTAATGAAAACAAACTTTAAATTGTCAGTACAGATAGTCCTTTTCACCTTGCACCAAATACCTAAAACTATCACATGGATGAGGAAAAGACCCGTATCTATGTCACGACTGCCTGAAGTCATTTGAAAGCACACCTTTCTTAAATCAGAGGTTATTGCAGGAAAGGCCTATCTCACCTTTTCTTGTTGAAGCAGTTTAGAAGTACATAGAATAAAAGGCAAGAGAGGAAGAAACTGGCAAGAGCATATGGTTGGGATCATCCTCGGTAAGAAAGACGACTAGAAATTCTTTCCATTGTAACTTTTTGCATCTCCCTTACTGCCTTCAGTAGAAGATATATATGGGCCTTTTCTGTTGTTTTATTACTGTGCCTTAGCAAAATAAAGATTCAGCTCATCAGTGTACAAACCAACACTTCCAAAATGTCAGGGCTTCGCACATTAAGTATGTTACAAGCCTAGATGTTAAAATCTTCTACCAGTTGGCAACATAAACTGGGAAACTGTTGATAGAGAAGTAATCAAGACATTTTCTACAGTATCTCCAGTTCCATCTTAAGGAAAAAGTGTGTGATTCTCATAGAAAGATTAGCAAAATAATCTTCAGTAGCTCTGCAGAAACGCCTCTTCATAGGAACTTAAGCCAGCATATTTCTTTAATATTAAACAGCTTTAGCTTTTTAAAGGGAATTACTGCCATATCTACTGATTATACTACAAGAACAGTATTCAAAATTCTATCCCTGAAGCATTTTAAGATGTCTTAAACTGAATCCAGTGTGCAGCATGCTTTTAAAAAAAAAAGGGGGGGGGGGGCAGGCAGAGGAAGGTATCATTATAGCAATTCATAGGAGTTAAAAAGGGAGTGAATTCACAGATTATAAAACTTTGCGTTATGAAGTTTAAAAGTATTACTAGTATTTCTTATAAATTTAAACATTACATTCATTTTATAACTCTGGTTGTTAAACTGGATATACAACAGAAAACTGTCTATAAAAATAATAACTGAAAAGCATGTTGTAAGAAGCTATTTAATGAAAAGTATTGTGATTTTTTTGTTGTTGTTGTTTTTTACTTACGAGATAATGATGCCATTATCAATAGAAAACATGTCAGAAGGTAGTCCAGCAATATTCCAAGCTCTGATCTCCACGGGGTCTCCCAGTGTGTTTGTTAAGGAAAAATCATCAGAAAAAGGAATGTCTTTTGTTTTACATAGCAATGCCCACTCTTTAGTTTGCATCTACATAAGAAGAAAGCAAACATTACCTGAAGTTCTGTCTATTCACAAAATTTTCAATGTGTTAAAAAAATTTATTTTTCAACCCATTTCCCATAACAGTTGCTACATACAAGGTCACTATATCTTCAAATGGAAAGAAACTCATCCTTCTGTATAAAATGTCTCTAAAAAAGCCTTCGTATATGATTTCTATATATGAAATATAAATTTATTTGGTCAGAGCCTTGGTATGATTTTATTTACCATTTCAGCAGTAGTCTTCTATACTATAAAATGAGTGTAGAACAAATGTACATATTCCAATCGGAAAAAAAATTAAAATCTTCATTATTTAACTTTCAGGACACACATAATGAGCACTTGTCAGGACTTAATCAAACTTAACAACTTAACAATCATTCCGAGTTGCTTTTCACTATTCTCTGTATTATATAAAGCACTACAGTTGTGTAAACTATACATGTTTGTATGGTGCATAATAATAATGAAGATACACATCTCTCAATATCTGAACCAAAAAGCATATTCCACTAGGAAGAATGCTTCTGAAGAATGTATAGAAATAGCATGTTCATATGAAAGGCACAATCTTGTATGAAAGCTACGTATAAGATAAAGTAAAAATTAGCTGGCAAAACCTCAAGCAACAAAACTCAGAAATGCAGTGTTAAAGGAAAAGGTCTAAAGGGTAGAGACATTCACAAGGGTGGTAAATGAAGGACTCATCAATTTACATAAAACAAAGTTGACATTCCAAAAGATATCGTAACTTTTCCTCTTATGAAAACTGCAGGGGAAAAAAATCAAACATAGCAGCAGATGAAATGAAGAAGTGCACAAAAGTGATTATGCTATCCAACAATTTCTGAAAGAGAGACCTAACTAATATGTGTCTGCAGAATCACGAGTGTAAGAATAAGCAACCAGGAATCCATACCTATTGTTGCACAGAGAAAGAAACTATGCAGTCAGAAAGAATGAAATTACACTAAACTTTTCAGATGAAACCACTATGTATTTGTTTTTAGTCAATAACCATGCCGATGTCTCTGCATTTTATGAACCTCACCTACACCTGTATCTACAGTTGCCTGGAATACAGTTCAGATCCCCTTAAGATGTTTCACCAAAAGTACTCCTACCTACCCAGACACAATGTTATACACAATGCAGGTTATAAGCATAAGAGAACGCTCTCTCAAACTTACGTAATTCGGAATTGTAAAACTGCTGACCATTTATTTACGCTATAAATACTCACACCATAAACTCTCACTCTAAACTCTATAAAGTTTTAAAATAGTAACATCACAATATGGACATCATGAAGAAAATAATTGTTTGAAAGAACAGTATAAGATTTTCTAAATAAAAATGGACAAAGGAAGTACAGTGAAGAAAAAGTGGAAATAAGGACTATATCCAAATTCTATGTTCAAATGAGGTACATTAATTTTTTTCTCACTCAAACTTTAGGAATTTTTGATACCCTGAACCTGATTTTCAAAAGAAACGGACATTCATTTCTTCATCTGAACTCAGTGGCAGGTTTTGGTTTTCAAAAACTTTCAAAGTCAGGGTAATTTTGACAACCAAAATTTGTTATATCTAGAATCATTTGCCATGTCAAAATCTTTCTGTATTCAGAATTTCCATTTATTTCACTACTAGTTACAGGCACAAATCTGCTACATTATTGAGCTACTGTATCTTTTGCCTCTTTTTGTACAGAATTACTCCACTTTCAGAACTTGCTTAATTGTGCTGCTGCTGAAATAGAAGCTAATTCTGTTTTCTTTGAAGTTCAGGAGAATTTAGCCATTGAATGGAATAGGAAAACCCAGAGCCATGAGGTATAAAGTTACTGGTAATTGCTTTAGAGAAGAAAAGCAACCAAAGGACTCCATGCTTTACCCAGCAAGAAGTACTTTACAGTAGAATGAAGGAAGAATTTCCCCCAAGAGTCTTATAAACAAAACTCAAAATCCTACAATATAGTTTCAGTTCCACTTATGAGGTCTATTAAAACATAATTTTAAAATATAAATTTTATATTAGAAGAAAAATTAGTACAATTTAGATTATTATAAAACATGGGGACAAAATCACTGTACATCTTACTTGTCTGTAGCTGGATGTAAAGGCTGCTAGGTAAGCTACAACTCCTGATGAAATAAGTATATCTCCAGTCAAATTGACGTACTGCCTTCCCAGCTCCAAAGCAGTCTCATGCCAGCGAGTTTTCTCACCCCCAAGGCCACCAATCAATTGTTCTGCTCGCTGTAGTTTTTTGCTACATAAGTCAACCTCAGAATAAAAAAAAAGGCAACTATGTTACATGATCACTTTAAAGATATTTTACAAATATTAGAAGCATTCAAGGATTATTTTCCTGTGCAGATGTTTTCTTAAGTAATTTAATCAAATAGAAAGAAAACATCTTCCTGTTATAATGGAAATGTTTAAAGAAGAAAAACAATCTCACTACCAGCCCAGTAAAGTCTATTCAGTTACATTTTCATGCAAATAAAGGAAGACCACTACTATAAAACATGCAATTCAAAATAGCTCTGCATGCGATATGGAAAATACTAGTAGTCAAGGAAATTATCTACATGTCATAAAAGAAACAAAAACACCCTAAAGAGATCACTGTCTCATGAAAGTGGGTATGTTCTTTTCTGAAAAAAAAAAAAAAATCCTTATGAATACATAGTCTGCATACCTGTTGTCATTTTTTAACTAAGACATCTTTTCAGTCATGTTTATAATCTAACAACAAAAAAAAATATTTAAAAGGAATTTGATCCAGCTCTGCTAGAATTCTTTACTATCTAGAAGAGACACATTTCAAACACAGGCTAGGAGGAAAATGATGCCAACTCTTGCTGTTGCTACAATCCTCTCTCTCTTTTGGTAACCACACCAGCCAATTTATGCCACAGTAACAAAATGCTTATGTAGTTTATCCCTCCCTTCTACTTCCAAACCATATCAGGATGCAGAAGAAACACACAAAGAGCTGACTTTAACTACAGACAAGAATTAAGACTCCATTTCAAATTCTGATACTATTTTTGTAAAAAAAGCTCAAGATGATGTACTGCAAATCTTAAATAAAACAATAAAATACCATCTTCTAAACATTGCCTATTTCTACACACATAACAGCTATTTAGCAGTCAGGAACAGAATTTACCAAAAATATTCTCAAATTTGCATTAGTACAGAAGGTATAAACAAACTTTCAAAACTTTAAATGTACCAACGTGCAAGTTAATAGATGAATCAAACTCTCAGTACAACCATTGAAAATTTATCTCCTCACAAGAAAGTAGATAAGAATGAGGATCTAGGAGAGGGATATCAGTTGGTGGATTCACAACATCTATATATTCTATTACTTTAAATCATTTATTCCCCATGCTTTGCCCATTTGTAACTTTAAGACCATTACACCAAAATAAAAACATGGTTATCTAAAAGTAACGACTTTGTTAAACATACTGGCAGTTAAAAGGAAAAATACCATTTGACAATGAAGCAAATTTTAAATAACTTTTCTGGATATCAGTAGAACAATCGTTCATCTTTTGTATCATGTACCTGATTTTCCAAGTCAGCCTTCTCCTGTTTCTTGGATTCCAGTCTCTGCTGGAGTACAGCCAATTTATCTTGCACCTCTTTCAGGTCTGCTTGTTTCTTTCTTAGACCTTCCATAGCGATCTTTAATTTTCCTTCAGCTTGATTCAACTTTAGCTTTTTGGGTGCAACGTTTTTTGTCACTCTAAATAAAGTCAAAGAATTAATTAAACACCTGAATGATATACCCTCACTCCGGAGTTACTATTAAAAAGGATGAACATAGGAAAGATGAAGGGAAACCTCAGCAATTCAGTAGCTTATGCAATATTCCATTTCATAATTTGATGATATCTGAAGACAATTGGTTTTTACTTAATGATTTGTTTCTGTGCTGATACCGACTGATTTATGCAGTTTCTGCATATTTTTCTGTAATAACAGGTACCGATTAAATGCAGAAAGGGTTACGCTTCCAATCTGTGTCCCATTTGATTACAATTTAGAATCCATTATGGATTTGTGCCATTAGAAACACACAAATAATCATACATATTAAGTAACACTCACAGATACTGTACACACACATACAGCCAATTGTGTATGCAAAATAAAAGAAAGAAATTAATAGCTCTTCACATCCAATGATCTATCTTCCAGTTTTGAGGATTTCAATCTTTTACACAGATAATTTTGTGAGGAGAATATTGGAAGTAATATATAACTGAAAACATATTGTTTATCTTTCCATCAACAACATGCAAGGAAATATGCTAGTATGTCCCTATGCTCAACCAATACAGTTTTTCAGAAGTATTAACCTCAATACTCTCTCGTACTGGTGTAAGTTGCAGATCTCCTTTGAGGTCCACCTTCTTAGTTAATTTTCTCTCTAACAATTGGTACTCGTAATGTTAGAAGTTGTTCTCAATTTGAGACCTCCGTCAAGCATGCATTTACTAACCTTTTAGTCAAGTAACAAAATACCCTCTCAGATGAAGACATGTACTACCTACCATGACTCAACTTTCAAATTGCAAGTCGACCTTACTTGCCCAGTACTGAGTTACTGTTAAATGTGAGTTCCAGATGCTTCAAATTGGAAAATATCATAAAAAATAAACACACTTTTTCAGCGCATCAAATAAAATGTGTAACACAAAATATCCTTTGGGCTTGACAGACTACTAAAAACCTCCAAAGACTTTTCAATAATGCCTCTATTTTGTGCAACATTCTAAAAAGAAGTTAACTTTATTTGCTAACTGAACAGATTGTTGCTCCCATGCCACCTTAGAAAAATTCAGAACTAAAAATCAGGCTCTACACCTTAACATCTGATATCTTACATGAATAAACCTTTATGACTGCTTGTTTGCACAAGTTTCCCACTAGTAAGAATTAATTTCACATCTCTCTTGGTGTTAAACTGATCTCTCTAATCAAATTTATTTTAACGTTTTTAACATTTTTATACATACTTACGTATCGTAAAACTCCATGGCTATGACCCATTTGCACAGACCCTCTGCTGCCGTGGAAGCATTTCGAATTTTGTCTGGTACAAACTCGGGATTTGTAAGATACTGTTTTCTTATGATAGCCATGTAAGCTGGGGGAATGTTATCCTTGTCATATTCATGAAGAGACTGAAGAAATCTTATGTCACCCAGAAGTCTCTTAGCAGGACCCCAGAAATCCTCAACTTTTTTTCCAGAACCTGTTGGATCTGGAATCCTATCTGCTTTGATGCCCTTAAGTATGCATATAGCTTCCATTACAAGCTTGACACCAGCAGGAGGACTCTTCATGGACTTAACCACTGTAATATCCTTAAACAATAATTAAAAAAACACCTTTAGAGCTCTGAACATAGGTGGATTAATTCTTCCATTACAATAGAAATAATAACCCATTTAACATCAATATAATATTTTTCCATATACATTTGCTATTCTCATACTTGATAATTTTAAATACACTATGATCTCAAGTTCATAGCACAAGCCTGCATTGTCCATACATATATATCTTATTTTCTTTTTGTAAAATTTTTATTTAATTTTTTTCCATTCTTTCTAGTCCTTTCTTTGAAGTGCTATGCAGGTTAAACTAACATTGACATCTAAACAAAAGTATCTGAAATATAGTCAACAATCAGTTTAGAGGAGACAAAAAATTCTTATCTGTAATTACTTTTTCTGCTTCTAATTCAGTAGTGGGCATTGTACCTCAGTTATAGAGTTCAGATGTTCCAGCATTATGCTCTACCCTTCAGTTCAGACTCTAACACTTCTAAGCTTACAGGATTACATCAGCAGTGGCTTAGTAGATTTAAGATAACAAGGTAAAAGCTGCCTTCAACCCAGAACTAAAGATTTATGTTATCCAAGTACAGAAAATAAATCAATTAGTATTCTGCTCAGTTATTAAACTCCCAGAGTGAGTTGAATGAGGGAAGAGGCAGCTAAAAGGAAGAAAACTATTGGGTAAGAAGTAGTTACAGTATAAGAAATAGCAGGAAATAAATAGGCAAAGTTTTAACCACAAATACAGAATAATAATATAAAAGAATTAAACACTTGTACACATATATGTACAACTAATTAAGAGGTTTGTAAACTTAAAAATTATAAAGAATAATCTCTCTTACTCTTCCCAAAGAATAACTGCATGAAAATGCAAATAGTCTTTCTACGAGCTTTTCACAGAGAATACATACTCCTGTAAATGAAAGGATTTCTAGATTCTCATGTTTATTTTGCCAATTAGTGTTAGATTTTGAGAGCTTGCCCATGGTTTCTTTGCGGTCTAGAACATTGGGACTTTAGATGGAAAGAGGTTATCTTTTGAGTTCTGGGAATGTTCATTTGTACCACAATAAACAGAGAAATGTTAAGACTGGATTTAAAAAAAAAAAAAAAAAAAGGAGAATTATTTCCTTGAAACTTTGAACTATGGTTCCTGGAGCTACAAGCTTTTTTAAAAAAACAAAACAAAACAAAAAACCACCACCAAACAACCAAACCCAGCAACCACATAAGTGATTCAGGAAAGGGAAACAAGAGCAGGTAAATAAAGCTAGGGAATTTCAATCAGGCAGTCAGAAAACTAGCTGATGGGATCTCTAGGGAAGGAAGTCCTTGGAGAAGAACGACAACCAAATTTAGCCAGCCATTCCAGGAAACAAAACTAAGGACAAATACAAATTAATTTAATACAACGAAGGGTTGTAAGCAGAGTAAGAAACTATTTTAAAGGTTAAACTCAAACCCAGCTGCAATTAAAAGCAATATGAATTAGAACAAGAAAAAGTCTATAACTAAGTAATAGTAAGAAAAGCAAGAAAAGTGCTGGCTAGGTACTTAGTGAAAAGACTGAGATACAAGTAAATGACATATAGTCAAAATGTTAATGCTCTTTGCATCTGCTGTCTCTAAAAGATTAACTGTGAGAAGGTGACTAGCACAACTGGTAACACTGTCAAAACTCAGCAAAGATTTGACCAAGGTTGCACAGGTCCGGACTCATGCAATGTTTTAATTACTGGAATGAATGATGGAAATGAGAATATGTTTATTAAATTTCCAACTGATAGGAAGTTGAGAGTAAATGCAAATACACTGGAGTAGAGAACAGGAAAAAATTACCTTGATAAATTGCAGAAATGGAAAGCTATCTATGATTCTATGAACTAGTACAGAAAGAAAAAAGAAAGGGAAAGCAATGATTATGTAATAGTGATTTTCAGGAAATGATACAGCTGTTGGCATGCATAACAAACTAGACATGTCAATAATCTTCCTCTACTCTACACAGCATTCAGCAAAACTACAGCTGAAATATTGTATTCAACTTCAGGCAATGCACCTGAAATGAATGTATGGAGAAGGTCCAAAAAGAATAACCAGGAAACCTGCTTTATGAGAAAAAGACTAAAAGAATAATGATTACTTAGCTTACAGAAAAGAAAAACTGAAGTGGTGAGATCAGTGAGTACAGTCTTTAACTGCATAAAAGATGAACCATGTCCACAGGGAGCAGGATGGAAAACAAGGTTAAGTTGTAATGAGTAAGATTAATAGTAAGCACCAGGAAAATCTTCTTAATGGTAAATGTGTACAGTGGAACAGATTACAAGTGGAAGTTGACAACTTCCAGGGTTCCCTTCCTAGTTCTAAACTTCAGTGTCTTTCTATGCGTATTGCTACAAATCTTGCATGTCAACAGCAAAATAACACTTAAAATTGTTATACATTCTCTGTTCCTTGCTCAACAAGTCATATGACGTACACAGTTCCTTTTTGACTTTAGATACTCATTTCAGCAGTACTGAATTACATAGAGATCTGTTTCTCCAAACAAAGCACTTAATCTGCACATTTATGTACATGGATTTATGGGCACAATTTGCAATGTGTGTCCTGCTCTGCTTTCCATCAGTCATGGCCAGGGTGCAGGGTGAATCAAAAAACAAAGAGTCCTGTACAGGTACTCTAAGCAAACCTACACACAGATTTTGTTGTGTTCATCGTGCTATTTAACTATATTTTGAGGAAGTTGCTACTATATTTTTCCCCCCCCCACTCTTGTATTACAGTACTCCCTTCTTGGAGACACTAAGCACTGACAGCAGCTGAAGTATTACTTCATTAGCCTTACAAGCCTCGTTCTTGTCTTGTTGTTCACAAGTATATTGAAGTGAATAAGTAGGCATCTGCTATTTTCACAAAGCATGCCAATGATCTGACAATGCCAGAATCTAAAACTTTTGATACCAAGCAATAGCTGTAGACAACAACCATCTGCTTTCTAGCTAAGATTTCCTTGAAAGTTTTTGAAAATCTTGTTTTCAGCAACAACAGCTGGATCCTATAGTCCATCCTCACTTTTACAATCTGGGACAATTCCTTTCATCCCACCATGAGCAAAATATCATCCAGGCAAAGAAAACCTGAATATCTGTAAAATCAAAGGTGGCTGCCTCCACTGTCATACTCATGAAGAGTGGTCCTTTAACACAGGGAGACACAAAACTTCAACCTCAATTTTTAGACTCTGAAAGACCAGATACAAAAATATTAGTTGACATGCTAGCAGGTTCTGAATAAGAAAGTAAAAAGCATACATTTTCTAACTTCTTAATGTTGAGTCAAAATATTTTTATAACTATGAATCTTGAAATGGCTAGAATAATACTTGATCTTGTAGTCCATAAAGATTTAGCATTATAGCTTTTTCACTAAAAAATAATGACAGAGTAACATTTTGTATTTTAAAACTGAAAGATGTCAAGAAGTTTCTAAATTACAAAACTGTGTAAGTATAATGTAGAATCTGAAAAGGCAGATATTCTATGCTTTTGTGTATCTGAATACCTCTCCAGTACGCAAATATGCATCATTAGCCATACCTGTGCAGTTAGAGTGTCAAGGGCAGCCAGAGCACTTTCTAAACAAGGCATAGCTTGTGCTAAGTCAGCATCACATTCATCTTTGATGGCTTTTGCAGCCATAGCCTGCTCATTTGCCACTGCTTCATCAGCTTTCACGACTTTTTCAGTTTTGGCTACTTCTAAAGATTCTTTTTGAATAACGACCATCATCTCATCAACCTGTTTGCTAGCTTCACGTAACTGAGGTTGCAGAGCCTCCAGCTCAGATTGCATCAAGGCTACTTGAGATGCAGCAGAGTCCAGTTTCTCCACGCCAACTTCATATCTTCTTTTCATTTTCATCACCTTACTGAAAATAAATAGTACTTTATTATAACAATATTTTATTGGTACTTGATCACTTCATTCATTGGGATCCATTCCCCAAATTTCAAATTGAGCCACAGTCTTGAACTATTTATCACGTATACTCAGAGATTAGGATATAGATAAATAAATGATCACTTACAGGTAAATAAGTGATTGTTTATCACTTCACATCAGAAGCAACATAAACTTCTGCCTCTGTTGACAGCAGCTACAAAATCAAGATGACACAGTAGTAACAGACAAGAAAAGCAGAGGGAGGAAATGGGGATACACTCATGAAGATTATTAGTTGAGGTGAGACTGAAGTATGATTAATATAATTGGGAAAATCATTTGGCAGCGGAATGTGAATAACTCTGGGGGCAGCCAATAGTATCAAAATCAAGAAATTCCGAAGGCATTAGATCACTATATTCAAAACTGTATTCCTTTATTCCTGGAATTTGTTGCTGTATACAGTGTTTCACAAGCCTGTTGATCAAATTAAGCACTTGTCTTAATTGTTATGGTAGTGTCTTATCAATGAGAAGGAGAGGAAAGAAACTTTCCCTCATCAGCCATAAGAATAGAACAGCTACGCACATGCATACAGAGGTCCTTTCTGCATAGGCACAGCACAGCTGAACCCTGCTAGCAAGTCAATAACACCTAGCAACTTGGAAGCTGCTTTCCCAGATGTCATCTTCCCTACATCCTCCAGAGAACCACAGAGCAAGCAGGCTGCATTACTCTGGTAGCATAACATACATAATCACCATATAGTAACATCACCAGACATGTCAGAAGTAGTCTAATGCAAATATATTTTGAGAGCATCAAGTCAGACTTGACCAAGTCAGTCCAATAAGGAAGCATGTGTCCTAAAAGTACATTTTATCCATCTACTGCTCTGACAATTTAAATTAACTAAAAACAATTCACTTGTTTCGTTCAGATTAGCTGCAAGAGATAGAAAACAATTAATATTGTGAACTTGATTTCCTCTAGAAAAGCTCACATTATAAATCCTTACATGCGTTTCTTTTCGAGTAGACTTTTAAAAGTGGAGATCAATTCCAAGTATGAAGTAGGTGTAACATAGTTGCGTCTTTGAAGCTCTGCATAGTATAAGTCAGATAAAACAATGGTAGACATATGAAAGCTTTTACACATATCAATACACCCACTTCGAGTTTCCTCTGACATTTCGATATCTTCCAAGAAGCGAGAGGCAACAGCTTCTAATGCATCTTCAGGCCACGTCTGAAACAAATTAATAAATACCCTTCTCTTATTCAGTACTTCACACTCATTAATCTCAAAACATTTTTCAAAAAAGTACCTTTACCCCATTTCATAGATTACTGAGGCACAGAATAATGACTTCCTGATGAAAAGATCAAATAGGACAATAACAGAACTGGAAAGAACCAAACTACTTAGGGATTTGGTTCAAACCCACTGTCTTATTTCATCCAATAGAAACACTGTTACTAAAAGGAAAATTTTGCATTTTCAGCATGTCCATATTTGTGTGTAACTGTCTCCTCTTCCTCTTCAAAATAACATTTAAAGATACAGTACTACATTTTAAAACCTGATGAAATTTAAGTTCCTCAGAGTATTTATATGATTAAATTCTACATCATAAATATTCTAAGGTCTTTTGCGTACAACAGTCAGAATATAGTTTTATTGCAGAGTAGTGGGAAAAAACCCTAGTGTTCTGCATCAAAAGATGTCTGTATTTTTGACAGGTATTTCAGTTTCAAACATTTTTGGCACCCTAGATCCTGGTAGTCCTGCTAATAAAAGGAAACACTACATATTTTAATCGGTAACGTCTACAGTGCTATGTTCATTCAGTTATATTCTTCTACCACAATCAGACAGTTACTCTCTTGATAATTTTGCATTCAGAACAGTTTTAATGGTGTAAACAATTTAAAACATGACACTAAGAAAATTAAAGATATTTTTCACTGCTAACTTGACCAAAGAGAATTACTTGCTACAAAAAGGGTTGAAGTTACATTTCTATTGCATTTCTGTTAATAACAAGCCCAACAGAAGTTTCGGTTTTACCTGAAACCAGTCGAGTGTGCAGCAGTTGACAAGAGCTGGAAATTTACGAAGGCGATTACGGAAAGCATCTCCAATGGGACTCATTGCCAGTACTATATGAAGCTGATCTCGACAGCGATCAACAAACATGTTAAAAAGAGCTATAGGACTGCCATCTGTCCGTTTTGTCCTGTCCCGCTGGCGATCTACTTGACGCATTTGTTCACAAATTTCTTGTTTCTCATCTACTGCAAAGAGGTTTGGCACTTCACCCGCATTTAGTAAGTTGTTAATGTCTTCTAAGAATGATTCCTTTTTAATCTGTGTATCTGTGAACAAAAACACTCCCTGCATTTCCCCTTCAGTAGATCTTCTTAGTATGACTTTTAAGTCTTTATGCCACTCACTGATACCATAACTTTTCGTTATTTCAACCTGAAAAAGGTTGTATTCAGCCATATGGGCTGCTAACCGAGTAAGAGATTGCCGACCACTACCTCCAACACCAACAAGGAGAGCATGGCTGCGAGGCTGTTTCAGAATACGGGAAATTCTACAAATATGTTCTATAGCAAATCGGAACAAGACAAGCTGCATTGGCTTTTTGCTGATGTTATTAAACTCTTCAAGGTGACTCTCTACAACTAATCTCAATTGATCTACATCACTGATCTCCCTGTATTTAGTGTCCTCTCTCTTAGGGTCATGAAAATCACAAAACATTAAGCTATGCAAGTCATCTTCTTCTACTTTGCCATCATTGTTGAAGTCCAGATTCTGGAAAAGTTCATGAAAGTCTTCATGTAAGTCATTTTTCACTACTTCTTGGATAAATCCAACAAGCCAAGCCCGGTCAGGATTATCCACCAAGCGATCATAATACACTCTAAGAACCTGTATAATAAAAATGTAATTCTTTAGGAGTTACTTCTACTCTTGAATTCATACTCCTTTTAAACAAGCTTAAAAAAAAATACAATTCTGCAAAAGGCTTAACTAAACTTCATTACATAGAAAAAAACCAAAATAGATATTTAGAATTAAAATGAACAGTTGAGCCCACTAATATTACTTCTGAAGTGAAATGTCATATGGAAATACTTATATATACACACGCACATATACAGATATATATTTATAAACGTTATTACATAAATGCATAAAAGGCTGCTGCAAAGAGAAAGGGAACATGTTAGTCTTTCCACTAGAGCTAGACAGGACAAGTTATGGGTTTGTATTTTCAAGAAAGATGATTGCAGCTGGATATTAGAAAATGCGTAAAGATAGTAAAAAGATAGAAAAACATGAATAGATTGCCTGGAAGTCTGAACATACTTCATCCTTAGAGAATTGTAAGGAATTCTTAGAAAAAACACTTCAAAAGTTACTGTTGGTTCCTTTCTTTATGTGATCCCTGCTTTGGGGAACAATGATGGACTAAATGATCACCAAAGATCTCTTCCATGGTCATTTTATGCTGATTTGATTCTATGAAGCATGGGTAAATATTTTAAAAGCAACAATTATCAATGACCTTGCTTTTTTTTAATCCAGGAAAAGAAACAAAGAGCAGATATCACCTATATGGGGCTTTTTCCTCATTTTTAAAAGGGATATTTCACTTGAGCTCTTTCAGTGTGTCTATCCTTTTATAACTGAAAGACAGGAAGCATTTTCTGAAGACAGTAAGCTCCAGAATTTCTTCTAATGGCAGCCCAGAAGTAAAATAAAAAACCTCAAAATTTGCAGTGACCCAGGACTACTTGCTGTTCTTCTCACTGTTGATTTTGGTTTTTTGGAGGAGGAGAGAAGAAATGGAAAGGACTGTGCAAACATTCAAAGTAGCAAACAGAGATTATGTAATCACAGCAAAGGTATCAACAACCAACTTATTTACTAAGGTAAGATTCATACTTTGAAAAAGTCTAATTTCCTCTGCCGATGAAGTATACAAAATCCTGTCTCACAAGTGTTTATTCACAGCTATTAGCCAATAAGAGATATCATTACAAAATGATTAACATGCAAATCTACATCTTTTTCTTATTTATAATAAATACCATTTCTTAGTATTAGGTGACTTACCTCATGAACCCAGAGA